CGTATTAAATTTGATATTCTATGTAATCTAAGTGGTTTGAAGGAGAAACTTTGTGCTTATTCTGAATTGCCATGGTTATTACAAATACACATCACTTTATTAGCAAATATAATTGTAATGGAGAGTATATAGTGCATCATGTCTATATTTGTTCAAATGTGAAATATACTTTTGTCATGCAAAAATATGATCAACTAGAGGACTGCAATAGTTATAATCTGTCATGTCGAATTTCTCTAGTTTTGTTTTAAAGAAAGAGGATAAGACGCGAGAAGGAGAGCACTGTTGGTTACTACCTACAACATATCCTCCAACTAGGATCACGGTTTGTTTTCAATAAGGAGAGAATGTTGAGAGCATAGCACGATACAATCATTGAACATAAGGGTGAGCTCATTCTTATGTTTGCGGAATGATATAAGAATTTAATGCTACCTAATGACGTTACTGTCAATATGCCGAGGACAATGATGAGGATGAGAATGTGAACTTGGGAAAATACTTTCAATATCTTCTATAACAAATGGGGCATGGATACACCATGCTCGAGACCCATCTTGAGATGCATGAACACCAAAAGCACAACATTCAGTTCGCCGACAGCCGATAATACTTGATTGGAAAGATCATAACTCCTGCATCTAGAGTGCGATTGAGGTCCATGAGTACATGATGGAAAGCTTCAAATGAATTTAGTCCCATATCAATATCACGTCGGCAAGACCTTCAAATCATCATGACAAGCAGTTACTACTTCTGTCAGGTGCGGGCTGTTAATCACCATTGAGACCCTGGTCCAAGTGGGAGCATGTCCCAATCATGTGATGAACAACCCATTCTACGGTAAAACTAGAGATCAGTACAACCATAGCCTACAGTAGCCATGACTGTTTAGTCCAGCCGATTAGAGCATATGCTCGTGACTCGCGAGAGAACATGTTTGACATTTGTCACTCTTGGGTCTCCTACGGGCTATGGTCCATGGAGCAGATTTTTATTTCCAGGTTGGATTTTGGATTATGCATAGGATTATTATAATGAGGATTGTGGATTTTAATAAGTGTTTGAATCTCTAGATTATTGTTGGTTGAAGGAAAAATACCTATTATAATCACAAAAATGTAGGTTTCACCTAGATTATAGGATGGATTATTGTAGTCTGATCCACCCTATGACCCAGTCCGTTTGAATTAGAATTAGATTATCTTATAATCGCATCGCAATGGATCCAAATATGTCCTTATTCGACCTATATTATCAAATTCCATCATCTATAATTGTATCGGTTTATTTTTCATGTATATATTCTATACAACACGATATATATGAACGTTGAACGATTCTTCTTAAAAATAGTATAGACTAGGTAGCGTGCTCGTGCGTTGCTACGGGATAGCTAGCATTTTATACTAAAAACACACGGATCGCATAATAAAATAACAATACTATAAAAATTAAATATCAATGTTAAAGTCACATTTAATCTAAAAAACAAAGTGTGTGAAATTAACACAAGTTACGGAGAGCGCGGCGTCGCAGGCTCACAAACTCTACTTTATAGATCTTTTTCGTGATGTGGCTAAGATAATGTTTTATATTGGTCGAAAGAAATCTCCGATATCCATTTCTTTTGTGCGCCAATAATTACCAATGTTGAATATCCGGACTCGGATACGGATAGATCTAAATCCTCTAAATGGATTCGGTCTCGAATACGGTCGAAAAATATCCGTACCGTTTTCACCCCTACTCATAACCATGCCTAAATAAATGGATTACAAATTACATCCGCCAAGATTCATATGCAATAGACAAATTACATTCGTAAGGTCCATAGCTCCAACAAGTTAGAAAATAAAAAAAAATCAGAATTGAAAATTGAATTGTCTTAAGAACTAAAATAAACTAAAGCAATTTTGTTTAGCCGATAGTGGTCGTACTTGTCTGAAATTAAACTACATGCTATGAAATGGTCTATTTAAATGGCCATAGGATACACCATATGTTTGAACAAATTGTATGAGTTTGATAGCTACTGCTCCAAGGCCCTGCAAATGGTAATATGTCAAAGAAAGTTAACCTTCCAAACTAACAAATATGCATTAAGGTAGCGTGTCCGTGCGTTGCTACGGAACAGCTAAACTTTTATACTAAAAATACATTGATCGCACGATAAGATAACAATACTATAAAATTAAATACCGACATTAAAGTGATATTTAATCTAAAAGGCAAAGTTCGTGAAATTAACATAGTCACGGAGCGCGGAGTCGCAAGCTCACAAACTCTCTTGTATAGACTTTTCCGTGATGCGACTAAGATAATGTTTTATATCGGTAGAAAGAAATCTCCGATATCTATTTCTTTCGTACACCAATAAATCCACGAATAAGTTATGTCGCATCTTCATACCATCATGTACACAAGTTCGAGTATATATATAAATATTAATTCCTGTCACATGGGTAATACTGCGTGCCTTGAAAAATCTCTTATAATATCTTAAGTATGTTATACTCACCGTATAAATATGTGTGGCTTTAGGACTATTTTACGCAGACATATATTGTAGAATAAAGTATGTACTTGAGTGTCTATAGCAAGATTCACCATCAGCAATATATAGAAATGGTTAAATCATAGGTATTATTATTACAAGCGACGAATAAAAATAAATTAGAGGTTATCATAATTGTACATTTGATTCTTCCTAGTTTTTTTAAGATGACGATGTCCAAGGTAAACTTCAAAATATATCATTTTCATGCATTGTGTCTGGGTACAAGCTAATTCACTATAAAATAATAATTGAAATTTTCTCTCTTAGTTCGAAATTATAAGATATTTTAGTTTTTTCTAGATATATTATTTTAATTATGTATATCTAAGCATATAAAAAAAGCTATGTACCTAGAAAAGCCAAAGCGTCATATAAGTTGGAATTGAGAAAGTAATTTTTCGTAGATTCATTGGTCCACTATGAATTAGTTAGAAACACTTTCACAAGGAAAAATTATCTGCTCAGAAACCACAAATTCAAGTTTTGCCCTCTTATAACACAAAGGGTTTTAAATTTGCTTCACAAAGTCAATCGTCAACTCTTCATTGAGGCGCGATGGCTGTCAGATTTACTACCTCTCAAGCACCATCCAGTTTCAGCCAACCTCTAAATGTCTAAAGTTTTCAACACCATGTAAGCATCATTCCATGCTCGATTTCAACAAGCTCTGCTTCTAAACCATCCTCTTCAAACTATACAACATCTCCGTTGCATGATCCTAGAACCTCACTGCTCAATGCAAATAGTTTGGGCACAAAGAAACCATCTGCTCATCATCTAGCCCTGGGAGTAGCATGTAATTTAGAAATCATGACACATATCAGATTCTTAGGATATGTCTATACGAGAACCAAGGCATGAAGGGATGTGATTGATAAATAATGGAGAAAAAATATATGTGATTGGATAAAAAATTATTTTGTAGAAACTATCCATTAGGACCATGGTTTATATATGTAGTGTCTATGAAAATTAATAAGTATATCATTGTGACTACCCTAATACATTATAGAAACACCAGAATAACTATTTTTTCACATGTAGAAGTACAAAATTGAGAAGCAAATTGTCAAGCTTGTTTGGCTAATCTATGAGCATCTTGTTTAAATATTCGTCAATAAATCGTGGAAAGATAATGTCCAATTAATCAAAATATACAAGTCAGAGCATGGGCGAGAGAGTGCGCGAGGGCGGAGGCCGGTGCGAGCGAGGGCGAGCTAAGCTGGCGAGGGTGAGCGCTATGGCGAGGCCACAGGATTTATAGTAAAGGATTAATAACAGTCTCTCTCTTTTATTTTGTCTTAATTTTCTTTCCTTCTGTGTTAATTCTCTTTCCTTTTGCTCGTTGTCATGTATGCCGGTGCATGCAAACATACAATGTGTATATGGATAGCACAATAATTTTCTACTTCCTATTTTGCAAACATGCAATATTCAATCAAGGAGACAAATCACGGGCTTTCCTTTTCTCGCTCGCTCCTTTCCTTTTCTCGCTCGCCTGATGGACAGCGTGGGAGGTGAGATCAATCGCAAAGGATGACAGACGGACGAACAAGACAATTGTCGCACTAAAACGATGTTCATACTTTGTTTTTTTATTGTAGGAAAAGAGAGGAAAGAGGCAAGTGTTCGTTTGTCTTTCCATCTCCAGCGACCTGATTCATCCGAGTTGCAGGGTATCCAAATTCTATAAAACCCACGAATATATTAGTAACCCTTTTGCAAATTTTATTTGTGTTGTCTTCCTTGCGCTCCCGTATTCCCCCGTGCCCCCTGTCGCGCCAGCACCGCAGCCGCCGAGCCAAGCGACTCGCCGAAAGAAACTGCCAATTCAATACGACTAATCTCGCCGCCGCCGCCGCCGGGTTCTTCATCCGCAGGGGCGGGGTTCTTCATCCCCGCACAAATATTTTCCTCCTTTGATTGATTTCTTATTAGAGAGTTTAATCCGAGGCGCTCGTCTTGTCTTGTGGTGGGGTGCGCCCTAAGACCTAGCCCGGAAGGAGAGGGCCTGAGGGGTTTAATCTAGCTATAGGGTTCTTCCCGCCGCCGCTCGTCACCATTGGCGGCCTCGCCGCCGGCCGGCAACCGACGGCAGGCCGGCCGTGCCCTCATCCTCCTCCCAATCACCGGGAGCCGTCGCCCCCTCATCGTCCCCTCCCTTGTACGTGACGGATTCGTTTGCTTCTTGGTGGTGCCCTGCTAATGCAATCGAGGAGTAATCTCATCTAGTCTAGGCTTTCCATCCGCGGTTTAGGTTCTTCCTCTCAAGCGCCCAGAAACAATCAATCCACCCAGGTGCGCGCGGGTGCAGTTTTTTCTTCCTCGGCAATTTTGGGTTCAACTGAACCCCCCATGCCCTACGGGAGGTCCACCCCTGGCCCAGCCTCTCAACCGTGGCTGGTGGGTGGACGTTGAGTGGTGCCTGCAGGCTGCAGCCATGGAGCAGGACACACCCATGTTGAAGCCGGGATGGATGCAGCATGACAAGGCAGCAGGCGCTGCCAACATCTGGGCTACAGCTTCCTCCCACTCAGGTAAACTCCACCAGCCTTGCGAATTTTGAGTCTATTGTTGTCAGTGCTGTGGCTGCTGTGCTATAGATGTAATGTAGTGCAATTGTAACGGCACATTAGGATTGGTAGGTTCTAAACTTCATAGTATACTTGGGGTAACCGAATAACGCTTGTGAAAACTGAAAAATGATGCTTTTGATTTGTTCTTATGCTTCACATGCATTAATCGTGAAAAGTGTTATAATTATAGGAATAGTGCTTTGTTTGTATATGTATTTAGTCTTGCTACCGTGACTGCAATTTAGAGGCAGCTTCTAGATGTGGGCTCTTGATGATGGAAATGTAGATAGTGTTGTACTGGGAGATGGTTTCTTGGATGGACAAGATGGTTGAGATGGAGCAACTATGGGACTTGTTCAGGAATTTATGTCTTTCTTACTACTGAAGCTCTTCCAAGGAAACACTAAACAAACATATTGTAGTTTGTACGGTCTTTTTACTGTGAATTGAGACTGTGTTGAGTACGATTTATATAATTGCTAACACTGCTTTCAGGAAAATTCATATACTTGTTACGCGCATAAAACAAGGGAGGTGTTAATGCTTTAGTATATGGCGTGTATTTTTACCTTCCGATTATTACACGTCTCTCTAATTGGAGCATTACTACCAGTCAGCATTTAATACATTTTTCTTATGGGAAAAGGATGAGTAGGAAACAATATATATATTTGCAATGTTATGACTAAAATGGTATTTGAGTTTGACGGAAAGTTATGTTGTTCTTCAAACTAGTTCTTTTGGCTTCTGGAAGAAAAATGCACTGTATTGGCTGATTAATTAGTTCTGTTACTTAGGTCATGTTTAAAAATAAATGCATTGTTGTGTGTTCCTTCCGTACTATGTTGAATTGTTCATAGTATCAATTGACTTTTTCATTTGTTTGACTTTGTATTTTGACCACTTTATGAACTTCTGTAATGAAGTTATGTGATTGTTAGTTTTTTTTTTTTACTTTTGAGTTTTCTACTGCTTTGTTTTATTCGTTCATCAAAGTGACATTACAGTGAATGTTTATCGAAGTGTCCTACATGTCAATCAACTATAAGCACCATTTTGTTTTTGTGTTGCAAAACTGTTATTTATACCAATAACAAGTATTTTTCTTGGATGCTATAGATTATCAAGCTGCAGGTGGTTCATTGAGAAACCATTCATCTGGACATTACCATGACCATGGTTCCCAGCAATCATCATCAGGGAGAAGTTCAGGCTCGAATGGATCTCACCGGCCTGACCGGGATGGAATGGGGAAGTCAACGGACTATTTCAATTTCAGAAAGTTCAAGGACAGGGATCGGCAGAGGGACTTTGATTCCTGTGATTGGGAGAGTAGGTCGGCTGCTGCAGTTCGTGATGATTTCAAGTCCTTTAGCACATGCAAATCTGAAAGGGATAGGATGAATCGTACCCGCTCGAAGGCAGACACATGGAACAAAGGCAGTGGTAGCACCTCTAGAAATAATGCAGTTAGTTCCTCTAGAAGCAATGACAAAAGCAGTACTGTTGCTAGTCCTGGAACTGTTAACTCTGTTAGAAATGCAGCTTTGGGGACCTCCATAAGCAATGCTTCTGTCCGAACCTCAGTAAGCAATACTTCTATTAGTAATGCTGTAAGCAATGCCAACAATGCTGCTAGCATAACCTTTGAACGGGAATTTCCGCAGCTTAGTTCAGAGGACAAAAATGGAAGGCAAAGCATAAGCAAAGTCCCATCTCCTGGTATCAGCACCGCAATTCAGAATGTACCTATGATATCTCCTGATGGCTGGAGCTCCATGCTAGCAGATCTTCCTTTATTAAGTGATCCGAAGAAAAGTCTAGCCACTTCTTCTCTATTGCACATTGCTCCTAGTAAACAGGCTGAAGTGGTGCCAAACAGTGGGACTGCATTAAACATGGCAGAGACAGTGATGCAAGCTCCTCTGAGAATTTCCATTAGGCCTCAGGTAACTAGTGAACCACTGAGATAATGCTTGCAGTGTGCTTTTCATTAGACATTGACCATTCAAAATTTGGCTTTAGTTATGATTGTACCTTTTCCATTGTAGTTATCAACTGAGGCTCAGAAGATTGAAGAAAGAACCTTGAAGCAGCTTACTCTAAGGCCTATTACACCTCCAGCAAGCAAATCTTCGGTAAGTTCCTAATATAATTCCGACAAACGTGAATAATATTGTTTAGAAGTATCTATGCCTTCCATCATTCATATGAGCATGCAGCCTTTTGGACGTATGATAATATATTAGATTGGGCAACACATAAAAAGGAAACAATTGATTCTGGAGTTACACTAAATAATTTTTCATCGAAAAGGAAATGGGAGGTAGAAGAAACTTGATATAATGAAAATATTTTACTGACATACTCAAAATTTACATTCCATTACTTTCCATCTAGTATTCTACATATTTGCTACTAGCTTTTTTTTAGAACATATTTGCTACTAGCTGATAAGCTGAACATTGCACAAAGTTCTGATGCTTTCAGAGATTACTTATCTTTACACCTTAAATAGCTTCGCATCAGTATGAAGATGCCTTAGTTGTTGAGGTTGAATATCTGTGGTGCTAATCGACATATTTACTTCAGTATTGTGTATGTTTTGATGCATAATGATAACATTATTGTCAATCAATCTAAATCCTTACATTGGGGTGACTGAATGATAGCCCTGTTGTAGCTATGGTTGTTTGGACTAGTTTATGCCTTTATGAGGGCCATGGGGGCACATGGTTTCCTTCCTACTCCAAACAATCAATGTGTAATTGCTGATAAAAAAAAACTACATTTACATGCCATAAGTACTGATTCTTGACTTACAGTTTTGTTGAAGCTAGTATGATATCATACATATGTGCATGAAAAAGTTTAGTCTTATGCCTGTTTAAATCAACCTTGTTTGTTAGTTATAATTGTGATGTGGATTGTTCTTACATATCCTCGTTGAATCGTTGAAGGATAAATTACAAACATTATTCGAACTTGGAAGTATTAAGCAGTTCTGGTTTTTGCTTGTCCACATTATGTTTTCTACTTAGTGAGCTTCTGTAGTGTTGAATTAGTATACATGCTTATCTAATTGTTTTCAATAATTGTCCAGGCTCTTAGTTCTTTGAAAATAAAAGGTACAAGGCTTGGAGATCCTACTGGTCCTAGTAAGACCTCACAACTATTAAAAGTACAGTCAGCCAACGGTTCTACTAGAGCTCCAGTTAAAGCAGATGTTTCAAAGCTCTCTCAGCCAGGAAGCTTCCAAGTTCTCAGTCGAGAGCAAAACGGTACTGCACACACCACCAAAGACTGCCCGGTGAAACCTGTGAGTCCTCCAACTCCTTTGGTTTCAATGGAAACACAGAAAAAACCAGTGGTGAGCCAAAAGTTGAAGTTTGGCACCAATGAGCGCCCTCTGCCCCTGCAAGGTCCATCTCGTGATAGAAAGTCAAATGCAAGAGACAAGGTTAGATTCTTTGAGATGCTACGGACCAAGGCTTCAAATGGTTCAAGCACAGTTGATGTGAAGCAGGATTCTTCTCTTAATCTTGGAAATGATTTCTCCTCGTTCCATTCTGAGATGAAATGCACGGAGCACGGGAAGTGTTTCTGTGAAGAAGCAAATTCTTCCGACGGGTCTCAGAGGCACCTATCTGATACCGAGGAGCACATTCCACCCTTGAAAAGTGTTGTGGGCGGGATGCCTCAGCAGCCTCTAGTTGAAAGCAGAGAAGCTGACTCGTCATCTGAACCTGTTGACACAGGTGATGAAGGATTTCAGTCATCCCTATCGGGCAGCACAGAAGGCAGTTTGTCCTCAACACCTGCAGATTCGGATGATGGGTGGAATAGATCCCAATCTGGCAATGAGGAAGCAAGTTCATTATCAGAGGATACTGAACCAGATGATGAGTACCATCCAGCTGACATTTCTTCAGAAGATAAGCGTTTCATGATGTTGCTTGGTTGGAAAGAAGATGAAATAGTGCAAGTGGCACCTTTGGATTTCGACGAGATTGCAGACACTGTAAGCCGCGTTCAGATATTTCTGTTTTTCCAGCGATTAGTGGTTCATTTTTACCCTTTCCACCACCTTATGTGATATCAATTCCAATCCTTTGTAGGTAAAAGGCTGTGAGGAACTCAAGAAGAAGCTTCAGTCTATGGAGTCCAATGAAGATATCAAGAGCATTCTCCTCCATATTGAGCTGAGCGAGAAGCTGCAGCAGCACAAGAGTACAGGGGCCTAAAGACAATGGGAACACCCCGGCTGGCCATGTAGAGACGCTGAGAATAGATGTTGATCATTTTTGGCATCAGTTTTTGTCTTGAATCGTTAACAAGGCAATATTTTTTTCTTCTCTATTGCCGCATGTCCAACAGTTAGAGATTTAGTGCTCACAGATAGTTCTGACAGGTTTTTTGCACACTGAAAGGAGGTTGGGGTTTCCCCGTGTAAGTCTGATCTTGGAATCACATGGCCGTGCTGCCCTCTGAAAGAATAGGCAATGTTCTCACATGCCATTGTTTGCTATTAAAAACATATTCGGTCCCGTTCGCTTCGCTGAAAAAACAAGTCGAAATATTGTTTCGGCTGATTTGTTGTGAGAGAAAAACACTGTTCCGGCTGAAAAAATAAGCTGAAAAAGACGGATTATAAGAGAAACGAACAGGACTAATGTGTCTCAAAAGGTTAATTCATGATAATATGTTGATTTGTGGTTCTTTTCCACGAGGAAGTGAGACGGTCTTCTGAGTTAGATGTGTAAAATCTTTAGCACGTTTGGAACGAAGGAATAAAAAATAGAGGGGCACTGTTGAAATAAAGAAATAGAAAATTGAGAAATGGATGAAAACGCACGAATAAAAGATGGATGAGAACGTTGCAGTAGAGGATTGGGAACAATGGAAATAGGAAATGGATATAAAGGGGTGTAAATCCTTGGGATGTTTGGAATGAAGGAATAAAAAATAGAGAGGCATTGTTGGAACAAAGAAATAAAAAACAGAGGAATGGATGAAAATACAGGAATAATAGATGGATGAAAACGTTGCAGTAGAGGATTGGGACACTGGAGATAGGAAATGGATATAAAGGGGTGTTTGGAACACATGTGTTTTTATCATCATTGGAATCAAAACACATAAGTTATAAAAACGCCATTATTGCTTAATAATGATATTAATTAGGACTTTACTATACCCCGTGTGCACAGGCGCAGAAAGCTCCTGCTCTTCCATGTCTGCTTCCTCCGGGGCTGCGATGACTCCGTCATGGTGGTATCCACACCGCACCACTCCTCCGAGCGTGCTGCCAACTGCCATCCCCAACCACACGCTCTGCTGGTTCAGCATCGTCAACGCCGTGAAGCACGCGCTGCAGGATGCGTGCTCAGGTGCAGTGTCTGCGCTGGAGCTAATGGCGCGTGACGCCGTCGCGCTCCTCAGCGGGACACGCTACGGCATCGCGGTGGGCCGGCGCGACGGATCGGTGTCCAACCCGTGGGAGGTGGACCTACCCGCGCCCTTCGCCAAGCTCGGCGACGTGCTGGGCTACTTCGCCGCCAGGGGGTTCTCGGCCAAGGAGACCGTCGTTCTCTTCAGCGCCCACACCATCAGCGGCACGCACTGCTCCTCGTTCCGGTACAGCCTCACCAGGCCTGACAGCGGCACCACGGACGAGACACCCCGCCGCGACATGCTCGACGCCTGCTGTGCCGCGGACCTGCCGCTGGACACGAGCAAGGTGCCTTGTGGCGCAGCGCGACAAGGCCGCAAGGCCGGTGCTCGCTGAGGCACGACATGGACGCAGGGACCAACATGGCCGGCGAGGTGGATCTCATGGAGGCGCCTCTAGAGATTATGGCACCGACGGGAGAGGCAGCTCCGCCTAGGCCACGCGCGCCCGTTAGCTCCGCACGGACGACGTCGAGAAGGTCCCCCTGAGCCGCACAGGCGACCTCTTCCGAATCCTGCGCGCACTGGTGAGCTTGAGCACGAAGTGGCTGGAGGTCGAAGGAGAAGCCCACACGTCAGCGAGTGGAGGGAGAGAAAGAACAAGGGTATTTTGAGCCATACAAGAATACGCTGGCTTTGAGTCACTGCACGTGGGCCCAATGCTGTAGAATACATAGATAATGGCACGATTCAAGCCGGAGAAGAATTTAATGGCAAGTTTTCAAATAGACGAATGGTAATGGCATATCTCAGAAGTTCAAAAATTGTAATGGCGTGAATCAAAAAAAAACCCTTCTATCATTGGAATCAAAACACATAAGTTATAAAAACGCCATTATTGCTTAATAATGATATTAATTAGGACTTTACTATACCCCTGTAAAGAGGGCGCAGAAAGCTCCTACCATCGCATGCCTCCTTTCGCCCGAACGTGCCCTCCTTCCTCGTGCGCGCCTTCTGTTCTTTCTCCCGCGCTCCATCGCTACCTCCTCACCTACTCAGCTCCGGCGACGTCCACGTCACCTCTGCCAACCACATCCAACCCTAACCTGAGCTTCTTCTCCAGATCTGGCGCGAGTGTCACCCGCCTCCACCACTACCATCCACCGCCGACACGCTAATCCCAAGGTTCTCCTCCCGGATGCACGCGCGTGCCCCACCTCTACCACCTCCCAAGCTCCGGCAGCACACCGCCGCCTCCACCGCCATCACGCTAATCCTAAGATTCTCCCCTTCTTCTCCAATGGACACCCCCGCCGCCGGCACCGTCCAACCGACCTCTCCCACCTCCAGGCGGATGGCACCCCCGTCGCCCCGCCCTTCGCCATCGTCTCGACCACCACCACCGCTGGTCCGCCATCCTCCCTAGAAGCTTCCTTCTAAGCCCTGATAACATGGAAATCCGCAAAACCCCAAACCCTAACGTCTTGGCCTTCTTCTCCAGCAGCAACAGTTGAGTTCTTCCCGACACACGCACGGTCCAAACCCCAAACCCAAAGAACATCGGACGGCCTAGACGGTGTGCATGCCGCAGGCGCTCGTAAAGAAGCATTTTGGTATTAATTAACCTCATTGTTTTCCTTCCTGTCCATCGCCATGGTTGCAAAGTCTTTTTCTCACAACAAATCAGCATCAGCAGCAGCTAAATTTCAGTGAAACGAACAAGGCCTAAATTAACAATCTACTGAATTACACAACATTCCCCATGGCAGCCGAAGAGCTATTGCGAGCTTGTGGCACCGCGGCGATTAGCAAAGCTGTTAGCTTCACACGCAATGAGAAAGCAGCAAGCTCATTTTCAAATTCCTCTGGAAAGTTTTGTGTCACTTCCTGTATTCCAAACGGCGAGAAAGACTTTCCAAAGGAATGCTATTCCTGTACTTTTCCTCCGTTTTCCCTTCAATATAAACGCGACCTCAATATAGTGATTCGGTACCAAACCATGATCTTGGCACGTTGGTAGCCCTCTTTGTAGCACTAAATAACTGCTAATAGGAACAAGATTTGCTAAACCAACATCCGTCCACGGCTCATGTTACAGCATGGTACACACTCATGAACGACAGAATGTGTGAAAGTACCTCGCAAAAGAATGTCAAAATTTGCATAAAACATTGTCCTCTACATTACATGATCTCTGCTTCCATACGCATCAGCTGAGAAACACCCCCTACATGTAAGATCAGTAACATCAGTTGCAACCCTACTTTGGAGTTCCTAACACCACCGAAAGTCACAAACAGTGACAGACCAAAATTACGTGTTGTTGCAGAGTTTTTCCAATCCAAAGTTAACATTGGCAACGTCCTGTTTTCTGCGGTTTCAGATCATATTCTACGGGGCCTGATCTTTGGGTTTTGTCAAGTTTTCTTGAGGAGTTGCCTATGCAGGTGTCCACCGCAAGAGCTTACCAAGTATGCTACATATTTACGGGCAAAGGAGGGTATGTGCTAGATAAGAGCACTCCAAACTGCTGAATCCCCTTCACCGCAGCGAGCATGTACATCTTTGATCCTCTCAACAGACTTGCATATACCACTGCAGCTCCAATCGAAAGATGCTACACAGACATTGCCAGCTTGCCCTTTCCACTCACAATCTGTGGGAGTACGTATTCACAATCAGGAGAAAGAGAGGGCAAACATGTAAAGGAGCCATTGTTCAATACTATACAACGAAACAGACCTGGTGGAGTTCCACAGCACATGTTCCTTTCATCAACGTGATTAACTTCCAAACCAATGAACCATGATCCAAGCGACACGTCTTCATTTGCATATTTGTGCAGGATAGGCCTGAGAAATATCACTTGAATCATTAGTTTTCCTTTAGACGAACAGATACCCTTTTGTATGTCATGAACATTAATTAAACATACTGATTGATTGAAATATAAGTCGCAAGATCTTTCGAAACGGCATATATCTGCCCCGTAGCATGACGGAAGTATTTATTTCCTTCCTCCCCAAATTTCCAGTACTCAGGTTCATGGTACTTCACATTCCTATATGAATAGAGCAGGTTCAAGCAGGCCTCTGTTAGTGCTTTAAATCTAGCATTTGAATTCATGTTGTAACAGTGTAGTAAGTAAACATTACTTATCAGCAAGAACTGGGCCTGACTTCATGCAGCCAATATAAGTTCTTGGTTTCGTTTTATGCCGAGCAAGGGTAGTGGCAAGCATTCCTGTTTGGTCATATGCATGCACCAGTAAAAAAAAAAAACTGAGTCAAAAGAATTTTAAGAGGAAGTAATTGTGGCTAAGGAAGAGACGAGCACCTAAGTTTACATGCACATCATCATCAACCTTGACGTAGAAGTCAGCATCCCAGATGCCAACAGCAGTAGAGAAGAATATTTTTGTCTTAGCTGAGAGTTCATGATATCCCTCAACATGGTCCTGCGTCATTAAATAAACAACATGCAGTAAAAGGTCAGGGCTAGTGCCAGAAAAGTATAGTTTAATTCACTAGTTATTGAAGAATACTGACTACATCCTCACCAGCCTAAGAAAGTCATGATGCTGAGCGTCCTCTGAATCAATAGCTTTGTCCAGTATACTGTTGGATGTAGCACTGTGCAACAAACAAAACAGTCAGTTTTTATATCCAAATTTTAGAAGGTACAATTTTTAAGTAGAACAAGGATGAAATCATGTAACAGTACAAAATAAATATCTGCAGGGACATATGCAAGAGACAATGAATTATGACAGACTAGAACAAAGATTGGAGATTTTTTTATCATGGCTGGAGGAAGAACGAGACATAAGTTGACTTAATACAGTAACAAGTAAACTCAGGGACTTGAGGTGCTTTGCAGATTAATGCACTGCAAGACTAGGTACTTCTGGGAACCACAGGGCTGCATGCTATCATGTCTTGCAGTTCCAAGAACAAAAATGACAACAGTTACAGTTTAGAAACTAGAGCTACATTATTTTTTATGCTGTAATATTGCCAGTAAATTGTTCAGTATATCAACATGGATGAATCATGCGTCTGAATCACAATTATTCATATCTGTGGTAGTCTGGTAATAAAGAAAAGTACCGGGAGTTATTTCATTCTATAATGGAACACAAAAACTGTCCAGTTGGAATTATTACAAGAGCATGGAAGACAAAATACAATGCAATCAGTAACAAAAAATAACGAAATGTGCTAGGAATACAAGAATAATTTGTTTACCTGTGCCCGATAGTGAAGCGGATAACTATTCCTTTCTGTTCTTCTAATTGTTGCAGCTTTTCTCCTAATAAAAAAAGAGAACTTTACTAAAAAATTGTTGACTGATATCCACAGGAATTAAACTCTTCTCCATAGCTTACAAGATGCCACAAAACCATAACACCCTCCTCCCTCTTTGTTTCCTATGGAAAGATGGCAAAGTAGAAGTATAGCTTATGTCACGTAATAAGCTAGTCCAAGCATAATCTTACATTGGCTGTAATAATCAAAACCCGTGTGCCTTGAATTCGATATGTAGAGATCACTAGGAACTGACAATTTAATCATTGCGCAAATCTAATAGACATGCCATACCATACCATACCATAATTTGTTCAAACTTCTATTCTACAAGACCAACTACACACCTTGAGGCATCCATGTCTCTCGGACAGAATCACGGCGCTTGCGGCTGCTGAATGCAGTGTTGACTCCAATGACAACAAATGCCTTTTTCCTTGGTTGGCTAGTTTCAGAGGTTACTGGTGAACCACTAGATCGGAGCAGCTCAAGTGTGCTCCGCTTTGCGGCAAGTTCCATCTGCAGCGTTGAGATGGACTTATCCAATGATCTAACACCATAAACAAATTCCAAGGAAAAGTCTTCAGATACAAAAACTCAAATACAGTTGCATGGTTAAGTTGAACCCCATATGAAGTTGAAGGAACTCACTGTATGGCTTCATGGGTTTTGGTTACCTCTCCCATTATATCCTTGTCTTCCCCATGCTTCTGCATCCAAAGTTATATTAGAGATTTTCAGTCAAAAAACCAAGTAATAAGATTTCATGGGGAATCACACAAGTTATGGAACCCACCCTCTTTGTGTTGCAATCCTCTGATACAAGTTGGAGCTCTTGCTCTTGCCTCCGGCGTTGAGCCATGATATGGTTACTGGTATCCGGTGCTGACCAGAACCTGTAAAACCATCCATAATGATCTCTCATGGAAAATAGAAAAAAATAAAAAGGAACTTTTATATTCAATTTCAAAATGTGTCAAAAATAGAACTTTTGGAATCAAGAAACCAAAATTATCCTTATATTACGATCGGGCTCATGTCAACGTATCTATTTCTCAAGATAGTCAGTGAATTCATTAGATGCTATGTTTGGTCTTGACTCCAAATAAATCTTTATCTCAAGTTTCTATCCAGATATAATATGGGCAGCAGTGACTATTTTTTTCCCGTAAAGCATAAAACGTTAGTTTTTGAAGAGTAAAATTTTATCTTGAATCCAAATCAATCCTTGGCCCATGTTTATATTAAAATACAATACGCCCACCACTACTTCTTTTTCAAGTAAAGTATACAAGTTGGCCTTAAAGATTAATTTTCTACTTGCGAAGGTTGGAGAGCTACATTAAATCAAGGGAATATTGTGTTCTTGCCCCTACTTTGATGTCCAATTGTGATTTTACCCTTGTTTTTGTCATCGTTGTGATTTTACCCCTGCTTTGTAACTACTAAAGCTCAGTTTATCCCTACTTTTAACTCTGTTAGTTGTTTCCGGAATACAAAAAATTAAAAAACAACAAAACCCTTCATAATAAGACCAAAGGACAATAATACCCCTTATCCAATCATACCTTCCCCAATTCCCCATTCACTCTACCGTATCCTCTCTATCTCTCCCGTTCTTCTCTGAAACCCTAGCGGGTGCGGCTGGGCGACGAGGGCACGGAAGCTGCTGGGCGGGTCGTAGCGCCGCGTGAGGAGGGCACGGGCGCGGCCCCGAGCGGCCAGAGCGGGGTGCGTCGCGGGCGGCCAGGCGCGCCGCGCGTCGCGGGCTGCTGAGCGCCGCGCGTCGAGGGCGGCCAGGCGCCCCGTGCGGCCAGGCGGTGTGGGAGCGGACAGGGCCCAACGTGGTCGGGCAGCAGGCGCCCCGAGCGGGCAGGCCTCCAGGCGCTATGCCACGCGAGGACAGGAGCAGCGACCCCGGCGAGATGGATTTATGGGACGTTGGTGAAGAGACTAGGTAAGATTTGGGGCTCATGTGATTTGGTCTGTAGGAAAATTAGTATCAATCTGTAGGAAGAATGAGTTTCTGTTTGTAGAGCGATTTAGCTAACTACGTATTCGGTGATGTGATTTGTAGGCCAAATCACATGGATATGAGCCTTGTTGTTAGAGTTCAGTCATTTTTTAGTTTGCCTGGTGGGGGACCAAAATCATGGCGACAGGGTAGAACCTTGCCTACTCAAGTTGTTGACATGCATAGCTTTGACCTACTGCAGCTAGTTAATTTCATAGCTGAGCACTACATGTGGGGTTCAAAACAGTACATAAGTTTGTGGCGTGCATTGGATGAAATTTCTAGAGGACCTGCTCAAGTCCTATGATGAGGCCACCACCAGTAAGAAAAGGAGACCATGTTCTGAATGTAATGAACTAGGCCATATAGCGAAGCATTGCCAAGGAGGTCCAACTGCTAGTCAAAAGAGGAATCGCTCATCTTCTCAAAATGAATCATCTTCACAAGAAATGTGAGTCATGCTCATTTGTATTTTTTTTTTTTTGCTTCTTTACTCATGCTTATTTAGTCAACTTGTTTCTTGAACCATTTTTCTCCATTCATGTGAAGTGCAAGTGCAAGCTGCAAGTGCAAGGGAAGGGAAGGGAAGGGAAGAGGAAGTGCAAGTGTAGGTCCTAGAATGGAAAGGAGCGTATAATGGAGAAAGAAGGAAGGAAGAGGAAGAGGAAGAGGAAGAGGAGGAGGTTGGGTGCATTGTTAGGAATAGATGCATGAATGTGATGTATGACCTTGAACATGTAATATCTCACTATTAGCTACCGCTTTTGTTGAACTTGTATGTTGGATGAGGCTTGGTACTGTATGGATACTTTTGCTACACTTTCATTTGATGTGATATTATCTATCTATATTTGCATGTTGTGTGGAATCATATGTAACAAGTTGTGCAATGATGCTGCCAAATTTTTAAAAAAAACAGGGGTAAAATCACAATGTATTCAGATAAGTAGGGGCAATTTCGCATGGGCAAACTTGTCCTTACTGAGCCCATTTGACACCGTTACCTGCTGTTCCCGGAGTAGGGGTAAACTTAAGCTTCATTTTCAAAAAACAGGGGTAAAATCACAACGATGACAAAAGCAGGGGTAAAATCACAATTAGACGGCAAAATAGGGGCAAGAACGCAATAGCCCCTTAAATCAACCTCAGTGCCTAAGGACACTCAGGTACTTCCTCTGCTCACAAATATAAGTCCATCTAGGGTTGTCCTAAGTCAAACATATCTCATTCTGACTAACAATATCTACAAAAATATATCATCTAAAATGAAAATAGCTATATAGTATGGAAGCATTTATCATAATGATTAATAGATCTGGTAATGTCAAATTTGTGATGCCAATCTATATAAAATTTTAGGTATTTGTGGTCAAAGTTTAAAAAGTTTGACTTCTGACAAGACTACATGAACTTAGGGTATGTTTGGATACACATGCTAGTTACTACTTGGGCTAAAAATTAGCTCAAATTAGCTATGGTTGGCTAGCTAGTTAGCTAACAACTAGTTGAAGACTTGGCTAAACAAAATAGCCCACCTATTAGCCCTCTTTGTTTGGATGCACTAGAGCTAATTTGAGCTAAAATTAGCTAGCTAACAATTAGCTCATGGTATCCAAACGTGCTCTTATATTTACATCGATGTTGTTCCGAACACAAAGCTTTAGTAAATGAAAATAAATACCCTGTTCGTCAGCAAGTAGGAAGACCAAAAGACAAAACAAAATCACTGTTTCGGTTTGAGAAACATACTCAGTTCACTATCGGCGGTCAAAATCATCCCCAGAACGCGATCTTTAACAGAAACAAAGTATAGTAAATCATGCAGATTTGACAACAATGACACTGTTCTACGAATGAAGGCGGTTTGCTGGTGATCCAAGCTTGCTGTTTGCTAGAACAAAGCTCAGCGTAGTTGCTTTGTCGATTTTGCCACAAAAGTTTTGCCACAATTCACGTTTTCGTAAGATCTCAGATAAGCGTTTTTTTTTTTGGTGAACACAGATAAGCGTTTTGTTGAAGGGCGGGCCTGGTGCAAGCGGTCTTACCGCCTGTGACCGGAAGGTCCCGGGTTCGAGTCGCGGTCTCTCGCATTGCACGGGCGAGAATAAGGCTGGCCACTTACACCCTTCCTAGACCCCGCGCAGAGCGGGAGCTCTCTCTGCACCGGGTACGCCCCTGGGTACAGATAAGCGTTTTGTTGAAAACCCGTTCAGAAAACATAGTAAAATCCATCCTTGCTTCCATTCTTGGCCGAATGAATTTAGTATTATCAGCAGTAAGCTCGCACGCAGCCATGAGCAGGTACAGATACAGGAAGATACCTACGCCACCAGTCGGCATCAAAACGCGATCTCCCATTCTAAGAAATAAAAAAAATGATGTTTCCACCAACCCAGATCGCCATGAGCTTCGAGAAGGAAAGACCAGAGCAAAAATTTGTAAAAAGAGAAGAAAAGGACGCTCAAAATCCAACCTCCCTCCAAACAAATCTCAAAACGCCATTGGCTGAGCCAAGAGCTTATTTATTCAAACTTCAAATCTGAAACGCGACGAGGGCCTTAAAAATCAATCTTTTCATTGCACAGCCGCCATTACCCCAGCTGAGGAACCCCAAGAACCCCAAGCGCAAAGGAAGCGCAGGGCGGGATCCAAAGCTTTCGGGAAGAAGAGGTAGTAGTAGAGAGAGGGAGAGGGAGAGACCCACCGGTCGGTGAAGAGCATGCCGAGGCCGAAGCTGAATGCGCAGAGCACCAGCACCCTCCACCTGGCGGAGGACCTCCGGTCCATCGCCCCGCCTTTCCCCTTCATCGCCTCCCTCCGGAGACGCTCCGAATCTTGGGCGGCCTCGGATGGCGAAACAAACCTGAACTCAAGTAGGCACAGCTCCGCTCCGGAGCAGCTCAGCAAAGACGAGGACGAGGACGAGCACTCCCCCGTGGATTTCGGCCAAACACGCACGGAGATTTGGAGGGTAGGCAGCGTCGGAGGCAGGCGTCAAAGAAGGCGGCGGTCACCGAGACGGTGAGCCGACCGGGCCTGGCCTTAGTGCCTTGGTGGGGAGGAGGAAGCTGGCCGCCTGAAACTCTGCAATGGAGCGCGTGATGCCCCCACACTTTGTTGCCTTCCTCCTCTAGTCCTCTTCCCATTTTTGAAAGCATTTTCTCTTTTCTTTTTCTCCACTCTTTTTATTTTATTATACATAACTAGCTAGTAGTACTACACAATACGGTATTTTGTCCGACGGGTGTGCTGACGTGTAAGGTGAGTTGGGGGGCAAGCACTATGTCTAGAGATGGCACCTCCCTCTCAGGTAAAAGAAAAGAAAATAAATACAGCTTGTTTATGGTATTAAAACCATAAATCCTCTTGTTTGTACTAGTAAGGTGTACTGTAAGTGTCAAGAAAACAGAACTAAGCATTACTGTTTTCTTTTAGATTCTCACTTTTATACTTAGAGACTGTTTTGTTGTTGTGATTAATTTGAACCCCAAAGGTAGGCTGTACTAGATCATGGGCTCATGGCTGCAAAATGGCACAAGAGAATCAAAGCAGCCCCAAACAGAACTAAGCATTATTGTTCGATCATGCGATGTGATGCAGCAGGGGGTAGTACATCATTAGCCTTGACGAGCTGGTGCTCAGTTGGACTTGGGCCATTGTTTTAAGTTAGGTCCCGTAAAGCAGTCCCGGATGTAAATAGGTTAACTAGATAGTAACGAGAAGAGAGAACAGCATTTTATCACAAAATTAGCAGAGATAATATACAATTTATTATGAGCCTTGGAAACTACTGCTAGGACTGTACATCATTTGTATTTCTACTACTAGCAGAAAGGACAAAAGGTTGGCGAAAGACGACACGGGAGTCAGGACACGGTTGAGAATTTCTTTTGTTTCAAAAACAAACGTCAGGACGTCACCAGGTGTGCGAAAATGGTTTAAAAAACACAATTGCTAAAGAGCAAGAGCAACCGGTTAGTAATGAACAAAGTAGATGAGCAGATGGCCTCACGTGAAACAAAAGCAGTGGAAGAATGAAGGCCCTCAAAGGAGACAATAAATAATGAACACGTCAGTAATTTTTTCTCAAATTTGTGAACAATTTGATGACATTTGTGAATAATTTGACATATATTTCTTTGATATCTGAAATCCATATAAATAATTTGTAAATTTGTTTTGAAAAATTTGGCATATATTTGTGTTATTTTCAAATTACATTACTCTGTCCAATAAATTACACTAAAAAATCATTGTAAATATAGTAATAAGACGGTATAAATATAGCTATAAGACAGTGTAAATGTATGAAAAAAAAATCTAGTTGTTGAGAGAGGCTAAAACAACCACTTGTTGGCTAGACAGATTCTTAAAAAAAGGTGTGCTTTGTTTGATTATGATGACAAGGTAAAGAGGATGATTAGTGCATGTTAGTTGTCGGGCATGATGAGAGGGCACCACAATCCCAATGATCTCCAGCCAATGGGTTTGCGCCATCACCATTCACCAATCCGCCTATATCGTGCTATGCATGTTGTGCTAACACTAACACGTCGTGGAAGGAGGAATATGGGCATGGTGGGTTCGAAGAAGAATCACTGTTGTGTTATTAGTGCTGTGTGAGACGACCAAACGACCATGCAAGCCTATGGAAATGCCTTGTTCCATTCTCAAGTAGGAGTGGGAGTACTTGACACTTTTTCACAAATGCATATATATAATTTATATATTTTGTGGACTGTACTCAAAAAAAACACTTCTCGTAGATTTATGATATGTGAACCATCGATATATGATGCTTATAGTATTTGTATTCCCTCTCTGTGCATAACGGCTTTGTCCTTAGACCAGGGCATAGGTCCCTGTTTGGATCCCTGGTTTAAAGTTTAGCCAACTAAATTTTAGATCACTTTAACTCTTGAGGCTCCAAATATGAGGTTTAAAGACCACCTCACAAAAACTTTAGACCTCAACTTTAGCCACTAAACTTTAGACCGAGAGAATCCAAAGCGAACCCATAGTTGTGGCTAAGCGGTTAAACCCATCGTGTCCAAATTGCTACGCACAGTGGGACAAAACTTTTAAAAAATGGAATCAAGTTCAAAATAAAAAGGAGAACACGAGGTGATTCATTTGCTTTTTTTTAATACTCCTCTGTCCCTAAATAAATCAGTTCCTAGAGTTGTGAAGTGAAACTTTTTTAAATCTGACTGAATTTTATAGAAAAGAGCATCAAGATTTAAGACACCAAATTAGTAGTATCATTAGTTGCACTATAAATAATATTTTCATAATGTGCTCATTTGACAAATATTTATACTTCTTTGTTCAAACATTGAATTTTTTTGACTTAGGGCAACTATAGATACTGATTTAGTTAGGGATGGAGGGAGTACTAGGTATAGATAAGGTGATTAAACTTTCTCCTGCTGCTCTAGTGTGCTAACAAGATTAGTTAAGCTTATTTGTATTGAAGGGAATAACGCGTATGCAGTGCAGGCGGTTAATGATTTAACAGCACTCTGTTTTCTTAAGCACTCATATTTAAACCTACGGTACATCATGGCCTTATATAGTAGTACTCCGTATTTAAAAAGGCAACGCAACGCTCAAGCTCGTGACTGATGAGATCCTGCCACCTCACACGTCCGGCCTCTGATAGCATTTTTCCAAGATTCTGCGGTCTAAAACTAACCATGTTAGGTGCAGGAACATTCATTCCGTCTCAAGCAATGATGGCCCTGTTAGGTGCAACCATTTGGCAAAGCGGCAGCTTCCAAGCCTAAACTATAAGAACTGTGACCATTTGGGAGGGCAACTAGGCAATAAGCTATGGCGTCCTGGCACGTGCCACCGGAATTCCTTGAGAGGGCGTACTCCGTACTCGGCCCTTCCGCTGCTGAGAGTTGAGACCGTCCCCTCCTCTTGTTTGCCTGTTGCGACATCCGGGATACGTTACTGTCGATATCATGGCACACACACTAGAATTCATGAACTTTTTCCCCTGACGGATTAAAATCGTGGTGGCACTGAAATTTTCGAAAACAGCTGCTTTGTTTTGCTGAAATTTGGCTTATGCTGATGCTTATGCTGATTTGTTGTGAGAGGAAAACAATGTTCGTTCAGAACGGGGCAAAAATGTTGTGGAAATGATTGCTAAGCAAAGAATGTCATGGTCATGGCCCTAACCCATGCTTGTTGACGAACCAACGCCAAAATTGCCTGGAAAGCTTCCAATCTTGACCCCATGGGTCCTTCTCCTGGACTTCAGCTCCAGCCTCGGCCGACGGCCTATACGCTATAGTTTCAGGTCAACGTCAACTGGACTCGTAAAACAGAAGAAGCGTAGAACTGGACTCGTAAAACAGAAGCAGCGTAGAACTGGACTCGTAAAAAGACACTGACGGGGACTGCCCCTTTTGTTCTCTGCGCCGGTCTGCCGGACGTGCAAGGTAAGGCAACGGCAATTCCTTCTGGAAGAATAGTATATAGTGGCGTAAAAGTCAAGCAGCACAGCAAGCCAATGGCTGTGGATTACATGTGTGTCAACTGTCAATTTAAACAAGTGGTCAGCTATTCATAAGTTGCTGGCGCCATTTGTTGTAGGTGGGAAATGCATCTGTTTCTGCCTTTCTGGATACAACGGACTGGATTTTTCCATTTTAAGTCATGAACTACCAACATAGCATAAAGATAGGATGCATTATTCTGACTGGACTGCCATTTAGGTTAGACTTGAACAGGTGAGGTGCTGTGATATGATATATGACCTTAATAGTCACACCTCCCAATCTTCAAAGAGATTGCAGGTTCCAATCATCAGAATTGAGTAATTGACGACTTTACAGACATGACTAGCGGCTACAGATGTTGGCAACAGAAATGGGGCTCCTCTGGTGGTACAAGAGCAGACAACAGTTGGCAAACTTTGCACGAGAAATTGGTCAACAGGGAAAATGTGACAATATATTTACTGACTACTTATCATCCCTAGAAGTTTCTTGCTCCAAAACAACATCTTAGAAACCAATTTTAAGCAGCATGGTACATGACTATATTTGTATTAATACCAAACTTCGAGGCTTGGGTGATACTCCCTCTATCTCAAATTATAAGACGTTTTGGCATTTCTAGATTCATAGATTTTACTATGTATCTAGACATAATATATATCTAGGTGCATATCAAAAGTTATGAATCTAGAAAAGCCAAAACGTCTTATAATTTGGAACGGAGGGAGTACAATAGACCATGATACACTCTTTGCATTTCAGCCAACAAGCCCGAATCACATTCCCTTTAGCATCCGCGTCTTTCTTGGTGGTCATACCTATACTTCTTAAATCAATCTTCAGAGTGGCACGTCCAGTAGATCAACCCACTGCAAGATACATCACCAACACCTATAATAAGCTCACAGAAGACACAAACACACACTGTAGAACTGAAATATTAATCGACCAAATAAGGAAAGAGTAAATACCTCACTAACACAAACACGCACTGCAGGACACCAGCAGTGCCAGTCCCAACGAGATGGCCCCGTATCTGTAAGCGCATCTTGAACCAAAAAACCGACTGACCCAGCCTAACGAGACAAAAGACACCACATATGAAATAAAAAGCCAGAGTTTCACCCTGCAATTCAATGTGTTCCGTTGTCATATAGTAAAAGAGGGGTAAATGTTAAATCAGACAGGAGCTCACAAAAATTCAAGAGAACATCCTTCCTTACAACAGTGGTTCGTGAATCTGTTAATCTGTGAAGTGATGTGTGCATAGAATAGAAGTGAAAATTTAAATAGCATATTTTTCTTCTTCAAAATAACAGGTAGAGAAACAAAGTGAGCATTTGATAATTTCTTAAGTGATTTATGCAAACAAGTAATGGTGATTAAATTATGTATCTCTACTTCCTGTAGTTTCAGTTTATTTGGCACAAAGGTTAGAAGCCTCAGATGGATGGCTGAATATGAATGTTTGGTTGGTACCAAACCTTGCCACAACTAACCTTAGGCAATGTATCGCTGCCATAGAAATTGTTGGCAAAGTTTGGCATCAAAATGTATCTATCTATGACACATAGGCCATGGGGCTAAGAATCTGTGGCAAATCACAACTGTGGCAGTGAACCAAACAGCAGCTAGAAATTGTAGCACGCCTAACCTGTGCTACTCTTGGAATTTAGATGGTGAAACTGGGGTTCTTCCTTTCATTTATATCTTTTTTTTTTGCTTTCTAGTGTAGTTAGTGTTGCCCTCACCCCATTTCCATGGCAATCCAGTGACAGGAAAATGCGTGAGTCGGTAGCTTTAACATGGCTCAAATGCTTCTAAGTGTGAAAGTGAATCCCATTCGACACAATGCAATTTCTGCCCAAACTATTCTGTTACAACTATTTTTAGAAGTTGGCACTTCGAGTTCCAAGCCAAATATAAGCCTAAGATCCCGCTCTCATCAGAAAAACGAAAAGTCCAAAATCACTTGCCCTATCGATCAAGACACCAAAACTCTTAATTCCATAAGTGATCAGGTTCTAGGCTACAATACACAGCAGATAAATAAATACGCACAGCTACGCAGCAAGTAATATCATCATAACTAGTGCAATCAAGCATGATATTTGCCGAATCACACCGCTGGACGATTCAATTAATTGCATCAGTACTAGAAATGAAATCACGTTAGAACCAGAAACCATAAACCTGGCTAGGGTTCAATAATTTCTCCCTCACCTCCACTCGGAATCGTCGTACGGTGAGTAGTAGCCATCGCCGATGTCTTCCCGGTTGACGGCATTGAACATGAGCGCGGCGAACGAGGCGAAGAACCCTAATCAAGACAGAATCCACGGGCGGGGTTAAAATCCTAGCTTACAGGGAACACAAGAGCGAAGGAGGCGAGACGAGGGCGCGACGCTCGCGGGGAACGGCGCGCGCTTAGCTCTACCTGGGAGGTAGTGGAGGAATGGGACGGCGGCGGCGCTGCAGACGACCGCGTCGACCCAGAACCACCAACCGGCGCCGAATACGGCGCCGGCGATGCCTGGGCCCACGACCGGCCACGCCGCCAGGAGGTTGTTGCTGTCCATCGCCCGCCCGCGGTAGCCTTCTCCGACTCCGGCCGGCGCCGGGAAGGGAAAGAGACAGAGTTCAGAGATCGACCGGGGAGCTGCTTTGTTCAGTCTAGTCCTTGCAAGTTTTCTTATTGAGATTTTGCCTCAGCCTGAGGCCGCTTAGCGGCTTAGGTGTACTTTTTCTGGATTGCTCCTTCACGAGAAACAACGCACTTTTCTGTACAGGGTGAGAAACTGTAGTCCCAACTCCCAAATATGAACCTTGCAAATTCATACTACGTGCCTTTGGACACTGATATCCCATTTTGAAACATTTTGGACAAATTCAGGACGTCTTGGTATGCTGGATTTTATGTGAATTGAAATGTTACATGTAAACTCCTGCATAGTTTAGGTGAAACCACCCTTTTTACTGGTTTGAAAGAAGTTCTGCGTTCAAAGATAAGAAGAATGGACAATGCAGCCGGTTAAGTTCTCACATTTCACAAAGCGTACTCAATCAGACATTTTTAGTGTCTTTCTGCTCAAGAATCTCGAGTTGATTTCAGACCTGAACATACCTAATCAGGAAACCAAGCTAATAATGATCCAAGAAGAAAGGAGCATGTACCCACTACGTCTGACAGGATAAACACAACAGAGTGTAAAGCACAGGGCAGACTGCAAAAGCCGTGGAGGCACAGGTTGAAATACAACTCTTCACAATACCCAGAGATTTGCATGATATGATGATAAACAAAAAAGCCACACCACTACAGCACTATGTCACTACTTGCTAGCCGTTTTTGACTGGGAACCGTGACGATCCTTGGCGAGGCCTGACCTCTGGAGAGCTTCTACAATCTCTGCCACCGCATGATCACCCCTCTCAAGGACGTCCTCCAGTGCCTTCACCTTCTCCAGCAGTTGTTCGCGTTCGTGTTCGTGCAACTCACCAGCTTATCTGCAGTCTTCAACGCCCGCGCACAGCTAGAGGCAGACATAACCACAGCATTATTAGTTACATGGAACAGGTACAAGTGTAAAAGGAATGGAAGGGAAGTGGGAAAGCAAGAACCATACCTTCAGCATCAGCGAGGGCCATGAAGGATCCTTCTCTTGTAGAGCCTTCATCAAATTGTTGTAGTGTTCCTAATAGCATCATGAACAAACTCAAAATTCAGTAATGGCTCGTTTGGATCCCTGGAATTGAATTCATTCTAATAATTATTATTTATGCACAAATTAATTAAGCTAATATGGTTCTATATGGAATATATTTGTATATTATTGTTAGCCATACAAGGAAGATATGCATTTCTACTATAGGGAAGCGAGTTGAAGAGCGTGCTATAAGTTGGAGAGTAGAAACATTGCATGGTGATCTATAGAATCAATTTCCATCTCCCACTATGAATTTGAGATAGACTTAAATGTGAACTTGGGAAAAATGTCAAATTACAAGATAAATAGCTTAATCCATTAAGTAGATTCCAATTCCTCCAAAATGAAAGGATCCAAACAGAAGATTTTTTTAGTTGAGAATTGAGACATCTGAGTGAGGTCAACCAGACAAGTATGAAAATAGTATAATAACATACTGATGATCTGAACAGCTAATACTCTGGTGGCAGACACGGATTACCAAAACTGCAACAATAAATGTAGCACTCTATTTAGTTTTCCCGTGAATCGCAAATGTAGCTCTTCTGACTAAAATTGCAGCAGCAAAATATCTCGTGACTAAAACTGCAGCAATGCAACAAACTTCTCCGCCAGGCACGATTGGCAAAGAAGCCTAGGGCAAGGCATTGAACGTTTATGTAAATTCACAACAATCAGGTCAATAGAATTGCATCTACGTAAATCAAGCTGAGCTGTTGTAAAGCCGTAGTCTTCATTTCTCCCAGTGAAATCAAGTAAGGTTGTGTTTGGTTTGGGGACGAGACGGTTCCATCTCAGTTTTTTCTGGAACGGGGTGATCACACCGCTGATTTTGGTTTGAAAGGAAGGATCATCCCTGTGTACCGTTCGGTTGGTGGTATAGAGATGTATAGGATGAACTGTGTTCTTTTGGGCATTTCACCGAGCATGTTGCAAGCGCCGTCCGTCACCAGCTGTGCTCACCGTCCGCCGTGCATGCAAGGCAACCCGTGCTCACGTACAGCATGCAATCAATCAATCAAGGAAGCCGTGTTTTATCAAAAAAAAAAACAAGGAAGCCGTGCTTTGATGCCAGATTGCCAGCCGCACCCAGCACGCCCGCCCTTGCCGCAGCGGCTGCTCGCCCACCATGGCACCATATGGCAACAGCTGAGTGCGTAATATAACGGGGAAAAAAACACATGGATACGATGCTCGACTCCAAATTGGGCAGTCCATTCTACGATCCCAGAAGTATAAGAGTAACCCACGACGGAAGAGTCAATGGATGGAACCCCGATCGAGAGAACATTGGGTGGAGGGGAAACGAGCCCTAACCTCGAAGAGCCGGCTGAGATCGGACGGATCGGCCTTCCTCGATTGCTGCGCCGCCGATGGAGAGGAGGGGGCGGACGCATCTCCGACGCCGATGAGGGGGTCGTCACCGCCGTCGACGGCGAGGTCGCTGAGTAGATCCCCGATGGTGAGCAGTGGACCTCCGACTCCTCGCATCTCTTTTTCTCCGTCCGTATAGGAGACGAGAGGGACATGGGCCTCACTGCGTTTTGTATCAGTGGTTGGTTGTGGCCTAAATGAACCCTGATAGAGCCCAACACAGATGGGCCCTGTCCCAGCTTGCTCCCCATTTTCGCCATGTGCCATTATAATCAGTGATTTTTAGGTGACGTAGCTTCACGCAACCACGAGGGTAAATTAGACTATAAGTTTTTTTGAAAAAAATATCAAACATTTTTCAAAGAAAATTTATGTAACTAAAACCCCTAAAATCCATTGTGATCCTAGGAAAATCGCGAAAAGCTCAGAAAATTATCAACCTAGTAATTTTTTTCCTAAAATCATGTTCTATCTTTATGGTTTAAAAATCCTGTTTTTATAAATATAAGGATGAAAAAATCGGACTCTAGTAAAAGTTGAAGGTGGTCAAAAGGACTTTTTTCTTGGTAAAAAAAACACAGTAACAAGAAGGGGCTTTACAGCTTCTATTTCTAAGTAATTATATTTTTCTAAAGGAAAAACAATGGTGGATCAACTGATTTTTATATCACAACTACTGGAACTGGCACAGGGACAGTAAAACAAATTTGCGCCCTGCACAACGCGTCAGATTCCGTTCCCGGTCTGCACTGGGGTACAAATAAGGACGCATGTTTGGTTCAGATATTATATCGTACTTACAGATAATGGTACACTGATCCAGACTCATGAATCATGATATACTGCTGGTGGTAGCTTACACATCCCAAATGCGGGGACAGGCATCGAAACTCCAAACAATCCTGTGATGTTGTGCATGGTCTCTCCAATTCTACATACCTAGGCTATCTGCAACCTCTCGAGGAAACTGATGTCCCCCACTGGAGTTGAATCACTCCTGCTGCTCTTCTTCTCTGCAAGGGAAATGGAAATGTCATCCCATTGTTAGCACAGTTGCAAAAGCGCAGCGATGTTTTCATGTGAATACACACCGAGAGTAAATTACTCGTGCCACCATTTTCTTGAGAAAAAAAGTGGCTCTTAGCATCCTGGGAAAAAGGCATGGTAGCCTGATGGTTTGATGAACAACTCAAAAAAACAGGCTACTCTCAAAGAAAAATGCGTCTCTTGGGGTCCTAGAAACAATCTACTCCATTGCTACCTAAGAACATCTGGTATGGAGATCGTGCTAAGCCCTGTGTCTCGATTAAAGGCTGCTGCCTGTTGCTATGCGTATCTCACATAACCAATAAAACAACAACAAAGTAATCTTTTTTTTTTTTTGGAAAAAAGGCGAACACAGAGTATGCAGCATCACTAGAAGATCTGATGATATTTTTGTCAAATCGAAGCAGATCAGAAAGTGGTGACTCACTCAGGTTCTTGCTCGGCCGAGGTGTACTTCCGGATGGCGGCGAGGATCCTCTCCTTGTCCCTCGTCGCGAACGACTCCACCAGCACGCCGTCCTTGTAGAAGTGGAAGAGCGGCACGATCTTGATGCGCAGCCGGTCCGCCACCTCCGACTGCTCGTCGTACTCGTCGATCACCTGCATCAGCAGCAGCATTACCCCCAAATCATGAAATCAACCACGCGTGTAGCATTGCGATGCTGTACAGCAATAGCTTGCTGCCTTGCTGTGCAGGCGGCGTCTGCCCTAAGTGTATACGGACGGACGTTGTGCTTGAGGAAGACGACGGGGGCGCCGTCGTCGCCGGAGCCCTTGCAGAGGCGAATGAAGCCCTTCTCGATGTACTTGCAGCTGCCGCAGGAGGGCCGGTAGAAGTCCACCACCACCAGGGGCCCGTGGCCTTGGACCGCTCCAGGTGGCGCTGGAACTCCTCGTCCGTCTTGAACTCCGTCACGCAGTCCACCGGGCAGAACTCCTCCTCCTCCTCCACTGGGGGCAGGCGGGAGGGATCCGTTCGTGCTCCGGGCCGCCGCTTCTTCTTCCTCGCTGCTGCTCTCAGTCGCGGAGGCGGCGAAGCGGCGGCTGAGGCTGATCCTTGGAACGGGAAGGAGGGTGGCGGTGGCGGGACGGGAGCGGGAGGCGGCGCTGGACGGGAGGACGAAGACGGAGCGGAGGGGGAGGAGGGAGGAGGCGATCATGGCTGCATTCTAGTGGTCCGTCGAGGTGTCTGTGGATATTGTTGCTTTTGGATTTATTCCTATTTTTTTAATCTTTAACATTTTTTTAATTGTGAGTTCAATCAAAAGGAGAAAAAGGACGTGTTATGTGGCTGGATTTCTTTACAGGAAATTGACGGGCCCATTTTGCAAAAAGGAATTTGACGGACCTTTGACATTGAAGCGTGACACAACTACTAGATGTTTGGATTTGCGACGATTAGGCAGACCACTCTAAAATGGGATTTCATAATCTTACAAAATATAAATTTTTTTAACGGAAAAGCTCTACAACACTCGAGTGTTTCTCTCCCTCGTCACATGTCACAACCTACGATTCCTCTCCTCTCATTCTTCTCCATCTCCAACCTCTCTCCCTAGAAGGGACTCGGGGGAGGTAGACCGGCCAAGCGGTGGAGATGATGAAAGATGGTGTTAGGGTTCCAACGACAATAGAGACGACCGGACCAGGTCAAAGCGGGGGCGCCCATGGCCATGGTGGCGCCGAGAGAAGGAGAAGGAGGCCACTGGCATGAGCTCAGCGAGACCCTACCGTACCACTGACAGGCAGTGGGCGGTGGTGTGGCAGCGTCAGCAGAGGATGAGGAAGAACAATGAAGGAAACGAATCTGAGTGTTTGGACACTCAGAGCACATAATAGACAGAACCTTTTTTAAGTTCGTATATTCCTTGTATAAAGTACAATTTTACTTTTTCTAAATGATACATTATTATGATAGACAGAAACATTCGGTAACTCCAGTTTTCATTTTGGCCATTATTTTTCACACACAAGGAACAGAGACACATCTTGCCATCATTCTGCATATGGAGTATTTTTCGACTGAACTTCGGACAACATATTACAGCATACTTCCGGCTGGGGAATCTCCCGTGCAGAAACAAATTTCATACTCAGAACTATAAGACATTATTACGAAAAATAAAATAAAATAAAATATACAAAAGGGTCAGTGACACCTCCAGTGAGTCAAGTCTACCATCAGCATTTACTAGAACAATTTCTTTCCTCCAATTGGCACAAGGTCTTGGGTTGAGTCGCGATCTCCTTACATTACGAGGCAAGAGGTAAGGTTTGCCATCGACATCTTTTTAGAGACCCTGCACTTGAAGGGAGGCTCTCTGATTAAATGCGCCTAATTGGCACACCAATTGATTTTCATCCAAGTAATGACAAAACACTGAGGAAACACATCTGTCTTGTTAGCAAGATTTTGTACATTGTACAAGACAACTAATGTCTTGCTGATGAATCACAGCTGCTTCAAAGAATATTTTTAGATGATAATTACATTGGTGTCAGCAAAGGCTGGACCTCAACAGGGACTGATAGTACTCTAAGGTCTCTAGTCATAAATTAAGGCCGGCTTGAACGGGGAAACTTTGATGCAAGCGCCTAGTCCTAATTCAGAAACAGTGCCATAGCTACTTGTCAGAACTCTATACGAAGAGTAATTCTTGTTGCAGCAGTTGACCTTAGAATAGACAAGCCATATCATTTTGGCATCGTTAATCTTTCAACCTGTATGTGCCATCAAGGTCAAAGGACCGAGTAAAGCTGCCTACATTCCTGGGCAACAACCTTGCTGAGGACAAGGCATGCTCCTCACTTGGGATGAGAGCTATAAGCAGCAGCCACCTCCACAATGGTGATTCAATACTTCAATCTAGTTCTAGATCAGAACTCCCAGACATTACATGTGATCAAGGAAGTGCCACAACAGAAGAAATGCTGCAAAATGGTGGTGCTGGGGTGTTGTTGGTCAGTAGTTACCTGATCACTCTACACATGTCAACTATTCACTTGACCCACTGTTTCTTGATGAATCTGCAGAATATTAATGGCTTGAGATAGTATAAGAAAAGGCATATTCATGCTTCATGATAAATGATCAAATATAAATAACAGGTCTCCAAATAAGACCTCGTGAAGCGACGCTTTCCCTCCATTGCTTCTTTCTTCTCCTGACAGCTCTGGCAAAGGAATGGACCATCCCAGCGACATAAGCTCCCAGGTTGTGATGAATCTTCATGTACAGATATCCCTTGGTTTGGCTTTAACTCTACTTGACAAATGGCACATATGAAGAGTTTGAACATATTTTGAACAGGGTATTCAGAATCCAGCCTGCATTCAACAATGACAAAATTGCAAAATTCATATTTACAACTCCTGGTGCAAAATGTTGAAAATAAAATCAAGTTTCCATCTAATTGTACAAGACTTAATTATCAATATGAAATTAGGGAACCAACCGTCTAGAAAGAAGCGCACACCCATCCTCAAATATTTCCTCCACGTTATCTGGCTCCGTATATTCTCTATCTGTATGGGAATGGGATGATGAATCCGATGATTTTTCTTGCGAACATATTTTGAAGACACCAATCCCTGGTTGCTTTTTAGGATGTGGCATGCAAGGGTTGTTTTTTTCTACTATTATATCAACAACAATACAGGTGGTATCATCCCTCAGTCCTTTTGATTGCACAGCAGTCTGCAAAAGGTTTCAGATATGTAAATAAGAGTATCATTCAAGATTTATGGCTGCACATAGAAAGGAAGTTACTTTAACGATTTGCTCAGCTGCAGGCACCGGAGGAAGTTCACGTGAACAATTAAAAGCTACTTCTGGAGACAAGGCATCCCAAACACCATCACTTGCAATAATAAGTCGGCCTCCCGCAGTAGATAGCTACACATATTAGGAGGCAGATTACGGTTTGAATGCTGAAGATATTGACATAGTGCTGAATAGCTACACATATTAGGAGAGAGATTAAGGTTTGAATGCCAATGCTATTGGCATAATGCTGAATAATAACTCAACAAAATCACCTAGCTAATTGTGATTCTCTCAAAAAGGACAAGTAGAAAAGTAGGCAGTTTATGCAAGTGGCTTAGCATAACTACAAGGTACATAACCCAACATTGGTGGTAGAATGATATATTCTTCACACTGCACACGGAAATAGTACTAGAGAAAATTGTGGTCATGTGAGAAGAGGTAGTTACCATAAGAAAATATAAGTTTTAACAAATGCAAAATGTTACACTAAGGCAAGAGACTTGGAGAAACTGTAACTTTATTAGTAATATAGGATTTACAATGGAAAGGGCAAGCCATAAGATTTCAAAGCAAACTAAGTACAGTCCTGCAAAGCTGACATGAAGAATTAAACAGTGCATACCTTTACTTGCTTCACAAGAGGAACTGGAACAATAAATTCACCAACATCTTGATCTCCGATTGACCTTGATAGGCACAAACCTCCAGGCCAACACCTAAGGGGGCCAATCTGGAGGTAAGAAAATTAAATATAGGTCAAGCAGGTGGAAAGAAAAGAAAAACAAAGAGCACTTAACCAAAAATCCAAAATCATAGCCTGCTCATGGTGTTAACCCTCCTATCCTACCACCTGAAAGGGGCCACTCTACCACCTTTCCTTCTTCCCACTCTATACCCTTGCACCACCACCCCTTCCCTCCACCCACATGGCACATGCACTCGCCTCCCTGCCACTCCTACAATTAATGATCGATGCAACGCTCCTTATAGACATAATGATCAAGGTTTTCACATTGACTATTGGTAGAACACTTTAGATCAGGTTCAAAAGCTATTTCTTGATTTAACATAAAATGAAGGGCTGAATTCAAAGCTCAGATATGTGAAAAACAAAAGGCAAGCATAATTGCATAAAACATGCATATGCAACTAGAAGCCACCTAAACTAGTTGTCGATGTAATATTAGAACTGCATGAAGCACATCCAACTATTACGTGACATGATTAGAACTTGCATGTCATATTGGATATTCATGCACTGAATTTAAGCAATATGAGCAACATGATCATTCCTCAGCATTAGCTAACAAGAAAAATATGAGCGAAGTTCAAACCTCAGCACCACCAACAACATTTAGCCTTCCCACATCACCTCCACATTCTGTTACACGATCAACCCTGCACATAAACAATTAAGTTAAAGGAACAAAGAGGTTGCCATGAGAAAGGGGAAGGGATGTGCATCAGGAGAAACAATCTTACTCCTCTTTACTTGCATCAAATCGATGATCAGAGGATAAATGATAAATTGAACCTTCAGCTTGTAGTACACAACGGGAATCGCCAACTGATGCAACAGTGATGACCAATCCATCTATTATGACAAATGTCACAGTTGTCCCTGAAGAACGTGCTGTAACAGACAACCAAATAGATATAGTAATGAGTAAAGCAGGTTCGGGTCATAGGAATCCATGGTAAAACATATGGCAGTATAATCTAGTAGTAGGAAATCTACTTCCTTTTGATGTTAGTAAGATTAAGAGATGTGTTATCTCGAATATGTTGTGTATGTATGACAATGGCGATAGGCACAATAACATCCGAAATTATGGTATGACATCTCAATCTTCTTTATCTTGTCCACAAGGAAATTATGGCGATAGACAAGGAAAAGAACCTGGACGGCTAGATAAGTTCATCGATACAACACATAAAGATTAGTCGATGCTGTGTCACTTTTTGGATCACACACCTTTAGTCTGGAAATCTTTATCGGTTTTGACGAATGCAGCAACCAGCGCTCTTGGGAGTGCAGCAAGCCAGTCTTCCCTGTTGAGATCAGCAGGGACCGCGCTCAAGACGTTGTTCAAGAGATTCTCCTTGGTGTAAATCGCCGCTCCATTCCCATTATGCCCATCAAACAGCTGCAACAAAGCGACAGCGCTTAGAAATGGGGCTTGTTTGGTGATCCAAGCTCAAGCACACATTTTCCCTATGTAAACACTTTTAACCACCACCTAGTAACGGCATTTATGTATACATCAATGGGAGTAGACCGTAAAGGGTTGTCATGGATGTTCCATACCAAGGACAAGTGAAATACGCCCCAAAATGGCAAAATCAGAGCTCCTATTTCGCACCAGCCGAATCCTCATTCCGACACCCACCTATCCCAAACACGAAATTCACCTTGAAACCTATAATATTTGGCGCACCAAGCCGATCGTGCATCGCCACCCCACCTAGATGCCCCCAGGCCAGGCAGGGGGCAGCGATCCACGTGACCACAGATCGGGGGCGGCTATCGCGACGGGAGGGGAGAGATGGAGAGGAGAAGAGGGGGTGCGCGTGCGCTTACGCCGAAGGCGGAGAAGGGGGAGGACGAGACGCCGGGGACGCGCTCGCATTCGGGCTTGAGGAAGGTGAAGTCCTCGCCTTTCTTGGCCTGGCTGAAGAGGCCCGAGTGCAGCTCCGGGCGCTCCGATGCGGTGCGCTCGCTGGCGACCTCCCGCCTGAGCAGCACGGCCAGCGGCACCGCGGCGCCTCCCCCCTGGCTGCTGCCGCCGCCGGTGCTCCCGCCGCCGCCCGTGGACCCCGAGCGCGAAGACATCTCCCCGCCGGACAGGCCGCCGCCGCCGCTGCAACCACCGCCGCGGCGCCGAATCCGGTGTGCAGGCGAGCGAGCGAGGCGGGCGGTCCCCGTGCCTCTCACACCCCCTTTTGGTGCGGTGCCTTTTTTTGGGAGGCGAGGAGAGGGAGGGAGGGATGGTGGTGGTGGTGGTGGTGGTGCGAGGAAGAGGAGGAAGAGGAAGAGGAAGAGAGGAGAGGGGGTGGTCGGACGGGTCACATGGGAGGGGAAGAGAATTTGGAGGAGTACGGGACGCGGAAATCCAGCCCGCCACGCGCATTGCACAATTTCGGCAAAGGTAGGCAGGCCGACTGGCCGAGCCGAGCAGCAGCAGGAGGAGGAGGAGGGCCCCCTCCTCCGGTTTTTCTTTGAACGGCTCCGGGTACAAAGTACAAAGCCGACTATCATGATCCGTGCATATGCACGCGTCAGGATTGGTTTCACTGCATAAATTCAAATCCCTCTGGCCATGAACAATGACACGTTAAGGCAGTTCCTGACCGTCAGACGCCTGAACTTCCTATTGATCTACTAGTATTCGTCCGCTGACGGCCGTCTCGAGGCTTGAATCTTTGCGGCACCGACTGTCGAGTATGTGACATGGAGGATCGGCCTGATGCGCGTGCACGATTAACGTGCATATATAGTCCAACTGCCAGAGCCACCGTGGTGAGAATCAATCTCTTTTTTTTTTACTATTCGTCTTTCTATAAAAAGATCATGTTTATATCCATGGCTAATATCATCCAGTCATCAATAATATGCAGTGAGATTGGAGATTTGCTCAACATCAGAGACAACCGAAATTGATCAACAATTTAGTATCATGTGAGTGTTTGTGTCATCACATATGAGGATTGAGGATTCAATCCGTGCACTTGCAATTTGTTTAATTGTTTGGTATTGTGTTTTTAATAATTGTGTAGTTATCAAGAGAGATTGAGATATTGCATCGCTTTTTAATAATTGGCTGGAAGAATGTGATATCATCAACGCATTCATGTCCCATAGAAAGCGTTGGCTAAAAAAGTCAGATAAGTAGTATTGTAAGTCTCTTACTCTCTTTTATGCATATATTTGGAGCTATCATTATGATGCTTGAACTATTCATATTGTAATGTTGTGGATGTTTTCCAACTTAATCTTCAAATTTAAAACTTATCGTGTTATTTAGTGTACATATGCCAAATTTCATTGCAAATTTCATAATTGTTATCGAATTATCAAATGATTTTACCGATTTGTATATGAATATTTTTTACGGCATACCCTGATCTCAAATCCTAGATTCGCCAGTACGAGAAGTTCTATTGGCAATCAGTTGAAAATTTGCATAAATATAACACGGCATGACGGCAACCATCCACAACGCTCTTCATTTTCCCTTTTTGCCATGGCTCCATCAGCTGCCCGAGGGGGCAAGGACGGAAGGCCACGAGCCAGGTGTGGGCAAAATTAACCGAGAACCAATCAAAATAACCATAATGGAAATTGAAACAATTAAAATCAAAATATTCGGTCCTTAATTTGGTTTCTATTTTCAATTAACCGAATTTCGTTAATTCGGTTTTTGTCCTCGATTAACCGAAATCTGGAGTTTCCAAACATAGAAACATGTAGCTCAACTAGCTCATTACAGAAACCCTAGTATATAAACACCCCACTCCACATCCCCAACCAACCCGCCTCCTCCTTGTCGCCCCCTCTTTCGTCGTCCTTGCTCATTCAGCCCAGTTACCCCTCACGTCTCCTTCCCCGGTACGGCAGTGCCTACGCTCCCACGTCTCTTTCCCCAGTCACCACGACAGCAGCGATGCATGTGGCGATGCATTCAGCACTGAGGAGCGAGCGCAAGCGAGGCGTGGAGGTAGACCAATGGCGCAACAGCGTGGAGGCGAGGCAAGGCGTGGAGGCAGACCAATGGCGCAACAGTGTGGAGGCGAGGCGAGTTGTGGCAAGACGACATGGAAGTGACGGCGGCATCCCCCTCTCCACCGGCGGCAGCACGCCCCTTCCAACAAGTGTGCGTGGCAACGCCGATAGCGGACCCAGCGACCCGTGGCAGTCACTTTTTCTTTTTTTTTTATTTCCTTTCGACCCGGGGCAGTCACTTTTTCTTTTTTTATTTCCTTTCTTTTTTTTCTTGGCTTGGTAGACCCGTAAGGGGAATCGGTTAGTTCGGTTACGACCGGAACCAAACCAAAAAAACTAAAAACACATTTTGCCGACTCCTATTTTTTAAAAGAATCGACCAGTCCTGGGTTCTTAAGGAACCGAATTTTCTAAAAAACTGAAGAACGGAATCGATTGGTTTCGGTTAACCAAATGGACGCCCTTGCGGCCACTGGTATTGCATCCAGTTGAGAAGAAAGGTGATGAATGAGTCAGCACCGACGTTCGGCCTAAAGAGCGTCCATGGCACAAATTCTGCCCTTTTTCACCCCTAGGTATAACAACCTCCTTGTAGGATTGAGATGGCTAACTAGACGGGGTTGAATAGTTGTTTTTAAAAATTAACCATGAAGACTAGCCAATTTAAATCCGAAGTAAACTAACAATCTAGTCTTGACTACACCCTCTATCTGAATTTGCTAGCACCCTAATAGAAGATTGAACTAGTAAGCAAGTAGAGTACCGAGCTAGTGGGAGATCACGTAAACAATTCTAGTTAGTAAAATCGAGGCAACCTAAGCTACTAGAACTTAAGCAAGTGCGCTAGAGCTCCTACAACCAAATACATCCAAAGATGTTCAAACATTCAAAGAAAATCATGCAGAGGTGTACAGTTGTACTAAACAAAACTATAGTGGGCCATCGTGTACCGCCACGGGCTATCGATTGCTGCTACGGGACGCCAAGAGGCGCCATGAGACATCGAGGACGCCGCGACACGTCAAGCTACACGGTGAAGAAACCTAAAAATAAACATAGTTGAGCATGAAAGATAAAAGTAATAAACATATATAGAAAAAGTTTAAAAAATATAAAACCTGATAATGTGGCAACTAAAGATGACATAATCTGTAGAGCTAAGGATAAAACTTTGACATCTGGCCATGAAAAGGAACGTTGATAGAACCATTAACATGCAAAGTGGGATGCTGAGTGAATTTTACAATAATATACGAATTATTAGACCAAGCTTGGACCCATATACAATCCAAGGTCATAGCATTAACTAACCAATAAAGATCCGTATGGAAATAAACACGAATGAAGCCATTGACCAGAGCGAGATATAGATTCAAACCATGGCAACATGCTATAAGAGTAGGGTAGTGCTCCACTGCACGCGTTAGTCTCTCGCGGACGGACGACGGACGCTTCGTGTTCCACATATTTTTTCACCACATAAATATCTACTCCCGTTAGGTGGCTAGACTTATTCTCTCCGGTTCCATCTCCTCTCTCATCCGTCTCTCCATTCAAAACAACAGAGAGAGGAAGGATGTTGTGCAGCATGTGATTCTCCTCCACGTCTCGAACTCGTGTGTGCTTGCCGGGCGGGGGTGCTCGCCACGCAGCGGTGGTGCTTGTGCTTTCGCCAGCGAGGGTGCTGCTCGTCATTTGCTAGCCACTCGCCATGGGTCTTTGCGGGGTGCTCGCCGAAAGCGAGCCGTCGTGGTCACCGATTCTTTGCTTTCGCGCATGTGCAAATCCTTTGTAGTGCTTCCATTGAGGGCATCGGCGAGCTCCATGCGCCGCCGCCGACCTCTGCACCAGCGTCGAGCTCCGCAACGATGAGCCTCCGTTTGTCCAAGCAAAGCATGGTGATATTGCGGCTGAAAAGCGCATGTTGCAAAGTATACTTCAAGTGTTTGAGATGTTTGGACGTATGTTGCAAATGTTGTATATCGATGTTGCAAAAGTAGATCTGCATGTTGCACATATTGTAATGGCTATACACGTATATTTCAAGTGTATATCCCAAATATTTCATCAGTCCAGACGAATGTTACAAGTGTTTTATCTGGACGTTGCAAAAGTAGATCTGGATGTTGCATATATAATACATGTTACAAGCATATATTTCAAGTGTTTTCAGGTGTTTCATACGTATGTTTTGCAAGTGTTTCATCTGGATATTGCATATATCTGTAATGGTTGTCAAATGTTTTTAGGCGTTCTCGTAAGTGTTCCAGGTGCTTGTTTCAAATGTTTCATCTGCCATTTTTGTGTATGTTGCAACTGTTATATCTGGATGTTCCAAAACTAGATTGGGTGTTGCACATGGAATGTGCATGAGAAGCGGCTGGCGGCGCGGACAACATTCGGGGGCGGTGTGGGCGACGTCCGAGGCGGCGTGAGCCCATTGCTGGTGCGCTCGCTCTCAAGCCTGACACGCTAGGTGCTCGCTCCCTCCCTGTGGGGGCAGCGTCCAGACGCTAGCGTCCGGAACAGACGTCCGGGCCAATCCGGGCACTAGCAAGTCCGATAAGAGTATATACCTAGTTGTATAGAATGATATTTCGGTTTTTTTAGGAAAATAGAATGATATTTCGTGGGACGAGCCGATAAACATCCCAGTTCTTTCCGAGCCGAAAAATCATGTCCGTATCCCCGAAGGCTCCATTAGGCCAGGCGCTATTTTAATTAGAATATAAATATATTGAGCTGGACTCGGACCGAGAAATTCATTTCAGATTTATGTTTCGCTGTATAGGCCTTGTCCATTAAGCGTCATGGGCCAAGCTACAAATATTCAGGTTTGTCCAAAACCTCCACCAGGCCAGGTAGCAAGTAGCATCCCGTTTTGGGTTGGGTATAGTAGCGCATATTGCAAGTGAGTAGGCCGTGCTAGGCTGGTAGTCACTAAATCCAATAGAGAGTCTCCTCAAAAAAAAAAAAAAAAACTAAATCCAATAGAGAGTTTCATGGGATGATTAGTTGTGTTCTTAAACAAAACTGCCTGGCCAGGCACGAATTCAGGCATTTGATTTTGGTCGCCTAGTAAGACTAAGATCGTTGCCTGGCTGGTGAACTGCATGCTAATCCCACGATCCAAATAGACTCAGCCTTCACCTTACCTTTAGCTGTGCCGAGCCCATCACCACACACCCTATTCATTTAATTTGAATGGGCTTATAAGCCATGGTGAAAATCTTCTTTGGCTGATTTGGTGTGAGAGAAAAACACTGTTCAAGCCGTGGATTATAAGCCAGATACGAGTGAATAAGCCAAAGCGAGCAGTGACAATCTGTTGTTTGCCTTGGTCCAGGAGAATAAAAGCATATCTAAGGGGGTGTTTGGCTTGCCACCACCTCGCTTGCCTAATTTCTTGGCGGCGCCACGGAGGGATGGGAGCTGTTTGGTTCACTTTAAAGTGTGGCGACCTTGACTTTTTGCAGTACAAATTCACGCCACAGTGCGGTGGCTGGACTCTCGCCACTGACCTTTGGCGGCGCTTACAAACTGAGTGTCCGGTGTAGACCGTTAACCAAACAGCCCCTAAGAGTCTCTTTTAGACTCGTCTCTATATATTTTTCATCTTCACACAACTTCTCTATATCTTGTGGATACTGTAGAGAGCTAGCCCGCTCTCCATCTTTAGCTATCGAAAAAGTTCGGAATAGAGTATGACTATATTTGGTAACCTAATTAAAGAAGCTATTATATGTTGTTTTTAACAAACGTCTATTTCTATCAATTAAACCCCCCCCCCCTTCTAAATTGTTATAAGACGTTTTGTCTTCCCTAGATATATTCCCTTTATTATGTATTGAGACATAATGTATATCTCTAAGTGCATATCACAAACTATATATCTAGAAAAGCTAAAATGTCTTATAATTTAAAATGGAGGAAGTAGAAAACATATAAATCGACTCTAAAGTTGCTCTAAGGTGTTCACATGTTGCAATAAACAGATGGTGTTCGATTTGAGGAATGGTCTAATCCATCGTCTACTCATTTCTTACTTTTTTTTATTCGAGAAGAATGAGTTAGTGCATTATCTCTCTATTCCTCACAAACTAATAGATAGTATTAGCATGAGCAATGGAGTCATTCCATAAAATGTAAGGAACAAACTCTAGATGTATTCATCAAGAATAGAGTGGTTTTTAAAAAGAAATACTGTAAAAGTGAATGACATGACATATTGAATTACGGGAGATTTTTCCGGCAGATCTTCTAGAAGATAGAGAATGGATTCCTCTTCTGCAAACTGTAAAAGAAACGGCCATTTGCTGGTCGGTTTCTGAGCTGATTTGAACTAGCTGGCACTAATTTATTATAAAAAAAAATACTATTGCCTACTGATTTGACCTTGCTAAAACAAACAAGCAAACAGCCTGAAAAACTGAAGGATACGTTACGCAGAGACTTGGCGGCCACAGACAGGTTCAGCAAGCCACGGAACTGACGTGCTGTACGAGTAATCAATTGATTCAATTCAGAACAGAGAGAAGCCCATACGCACAGATCTTTAGCGAATCGATCGACAAGCTAGCAGTAGCAGTGCATCAGGTGCAGTCAGCATCGTCGGCGACGCGTAGACCGAGTCCATCACCACGTCGCGCGTGGCCGAACTTTGTCGGTGACTGCTGCTCCGCTGCACCCGTTCCTTCCACGAAAACGGGCCAAAACCTCAGTCCGCACGTCCGCTACCAACCAACCACCTCGCCGGGCACGCGAACAAGGCAAAGCACAAGCACGCCAAAGCGCGAGTCCAACAGCCCGCGTCGCTCACTCCACAGGCTCAGTCTCAGGAGCGCGCGCGCGTCCGCGTCCGCCATGGCGTCGTCCAAGCCTTCGTTCCCCTTCCCCGTCCCGGCCCCCGACCCGTCCGACGAGGTCGTGCGCGAGTTCGGCCCGCTGCTCCGGATCTACAAGAGCGGCCGCATCGAGCGGCCCCTGGTGGCCCCGCCCGTGGATCCCGGCCACGACGCCGCCACGGGCGTCCAGTCCAAGGACGTCCACCTCGGCTCCTACTCGGTCCGCCTCTACCTGCCCCCCGTGGCCGCTGACGGCGCCAAGGCCAAGCTGCCCGTCGTCGTGTACTTCCACGGCGGCGGCTTCGTGGCCGAGTCCGCCGCGTCGCCCAGCTACCACCTCTTCCTCAACAGGCTGGCCGCCGCCGTCCCCGCGCTCGTCGTGTCCGTCGACTACCGCCTGGCGCCCGAGCACCCGCTCCCGCGGGTACGACGACTGCCTCGCCGCGCTCAAGTGGGTGCTCTCCGCTGCCGACCCCTGGGTCGCCACCCACGGGGACCTCGCCCGCGTCTTCGTCGCCGGGGACAGCGCCGGCGGCAACATCTGCCACCACCTCGCCATCCACCCGGACATCGTCGTCAGCGTCCAGCAGGAGTCCCGCCCGCCGCCGCCGCCGCTCAAGGGCGCCGTGCTCATCCACCCCTGGTTCTGGGGCTCCGAGGCCGTGGGCGAGGAGCCCGCGGACCCGCCGCGCGCGCGCCATGGGCGCGGGGCTCTGGTTCTTCGCGTGCCCCGAGACCAGCGGCATGGACGACCCGCGGATGAACCCCATGGCGCCCGCCGCGCCGGGGCTCCACACGCTGGCGTGCGACCGCGTCATGGTGTGCGCCGCGGAGGGCGACTTCCTCAGGTGGCGCGGCCGCGCGTACGCCGAGGCGGTGGCCGCGGCCAGGGGCGGCGGCGGCCTCGGGGACGGGGACGCCGGCGCCGGCGCCGGCGTCGAGCTGCTGGAGACCATGGGAGAGGGCCACGTCTTCTACCTCTTCAAACCCGACTGCGACAAGGCCAAGGAGATGCTGGACAAGATGGTCGTCTTCATCAATGCGCCGTGAGCCGTGACGCGAGCGCTCTTGTTGCTTTTGTGTTTATCGTGGTCTCAGAATCACCGTGCGCGTGGCGAGCTGTGCGCCACCGTGATAGGCATTTATCGTGACAATGTTGAAAATAAAATAATGGTTTTCAGCTGTTTTTGAAAATTTTGCCCACGCATGGACTTGTCAACTTCTCGCCAATTTCATTCACGTACGTAAACAATGGAGTAGTACTTCAATTTTCGCAGGATTGTTGTTGAAACGAGGCCATGCAAAATTTGACGTTGGTAAGTTCGTTCTTCAAGATTTGAAGTTTTCATTGTAATGGTCCAGTTATAAATTATATGTCATGTATGTGAGCATCTAAAAAAAAATTGATTGAACTTGCACTAGTACAACGATGATTTCTCTCGGTGGTGGCCATTTTTTTTTCCAGTGGTGGTTCGTAATCTATAAGCGTCGCTAGAAATAAAACTGTGGGTCCAGACCATGAACCGACAATGTAAATTTATTTTTACTGGCTGTTTTCTTAAGTTTACCGTCAGAAAAATACATGATTTCTACTGACGGTAGCCTTAAGAAAACAACCAGTAAAAATGTATTTATAATGACAGTTTTCATAACCTATCACCACTATAAATAATTTGAATTATTTTTTTGAGTTTTTCAAATGTTCTTGGATGGAGAAATGATCTGAACAAAAGTTGTAGGATTAAAAAATATCTACAACTTTATAGTTGACAACTTTTTTATTTAAAATCATTTATAGCGCAGAAATTATGTTTTAAGATTAATGATTTTAAAATTTATATTTTTTTGAACTTCTCCAATGGCCTTTGATGGGAAAACGATCAAAAGCAAAGTTGTAGATCTCGACGAGATCTAAAAGTTTGTAGTTGAAACTTTTTTATTTGAATCCGTTTAGGCTTTAAATCTCAATTTTAGAATCCGCAATAGTGAATACTAAGGGTATATGTCTACTATTTAGTCACAAATGGCTTTGTGGTGCAGTGACAAGGGGTGTAATGCGCAAGGTTTGAGATGCTGAGTTCGATTCCTGAGGGTCGCATATGCATGGATTTAATGCGAAAATGAATGAAAACATTTAGAACCGTGTGTAGCTGCCTTGTGCACGAGCCTCCTCAGATAATTTTTTTTTGCTATTTTTTAGCCTGATTTGCAATTTTTGAAAATCATTTGTAGTGACGGTTCTCTAGAAGACGCCTGTGAAGTTCGCGATTTTCATTGGCCTTTCACACTGGCGGTGGATAAAGGCGGCAACAAAAATAGGTTTAAGCCCTTTTCGCTTGAACTTATCAGCCTGGCTTATTAGCCATGGTACAGTGTTTCCCTATCACAGTAATTTTTAGCCTTGCTTTTCAGCGAAGTGAACAGGGAGCCGTCACTACAAATGTTCTATGTACTGGTGTTGGTTTGAATAATTTTGAAATTAATTTCAAATAAAACCCTTATTTTTCTCATACGTGCTTTGTGAAAGAACTTTGATCTTTACCATAGCTGTAGTACTGAAGTTTATATAACAAAATTAAACATGAATTTGATTGTTTTCCCTAGATTCTGAAAATTGTTTAGAGGCTAAACTGCTTTGCTGAAAAATAAAAAAAAATATTCTAGGGAGAGTTCTAATTTCAAAACTACAAAATCTATAATGGAAGATCCAAATAAAATGGATTGCGCTTGGTTTACAGCATCTACAAAAAATAATTTACATAATTTTTAGAAATTATTTTTAGAGATTTCTAATAAGTTCCTCGTTTTAGAACATAAATAAGGAGAAAAAAATAAGGAACTCAAGGCGCTCTCGACCGAGACCGGATATTCTTGGGTGATGGATCTGTTTTCCACAGAGCATCCTGTCGTTCGTTCCTCGTGCTCCCCAAATCCAAATTAGCAATAGTCTGCCGGACTTTAAAAAAAAAAAAGACACGTTCATATATATATATATATGATATAAGATAAGATGGAGCAGCTATACAAAGCCACGTACAAAAGAGATGATAGAAAAACAAGAAATCCTCCAAACACTCGACGACGAAAATGTCGAGACCAGAGAAAAGCTTGGTTGGCGGCTAGGCTAGGTTGCTGAAAATCTGCGAGACGCTAGCGCAAAGGCCTCGCTATCATGAGCAGAGGTTTCATGAGAACATCTCCGACGACTGAAGGTAGCGTAGAAGCCTGACGCCGGAGAAAAGAAAAGGTTAACAGTGACCCGTGGAAGATGGCCGAGCTCTTTGAATCTAATCCCTCCATCCTAAATTACAAATCATTCTAATTCTTTAGAGAGTAAATGTCGATTAATACGTCTGGCAGTCTACCGAGGGGTATACCCACGGTAATAGATGAATCAATAGAGATGCGTGTGGGGGAGTCGGATGGTGACATAGAACGTGAGAGACATCGAGTAGACATGTTCGAGCCGTCAACTTGACGTAATACCCTACGTCATGTGTCTTTGTGGATTGTATTGCGTATGATCAGATAAAAACGAGGGGTTCCTACCCGTCTTATATAGCTCGGGGGTAGGGTTACAGATCGGTTGTTTCTATCCTGATCGGTTTTATAAGATAAGAAGTTATAGATATTACGGGATCTGGCATATCCGAGCAGGTTTCCTAGATCGTCGAAGATCTTCACGTAGTCTTGCGAAGCACGCTGACCTGTGTCGTGCCTCGCACGGCGTCATCTCGTAGGCTGGGCCTCCACCAGTGGCGTGGCTCATGTGCAGTCTTGTGGGCTGGGCCTCCCCTAGCGGCTCGGCCCATGCATAGTTCTGCTAGTATCGGGGGTTATACCCCCACAGCTAGTCCCCAAGCACCTTGCATCTGTTGAGCAACATTGTCTTGAGCTTGTCCGAGCTGTTGAGCATGCATCCGAGTTGCTGATCATGCCGTCCAAGCTGTTAGAGCATGTGTCCAAACTGTCTGAGCATGCGCCCGAGCTATCTGAGCATGCATCCGAGCTATTCGCCTGGTTGCTGGAGCCGAGCACACTCGAAGCCAGGGTTTGTCAGAAGGATGTAAGGAGCTCAAGTAAAAAATTTCAAAGTCTCCACCTTGGGTGAAGTGTGCCTATTTAGGTTCCGGGTGTCGAAGTTGGTCTCATGGCGTCCTTGACTTAGTTAGCGCAGAAGAACTTAGCCATTCTATAGAAGATTAAGTCGAAAAATAAGCATATTCACCGCAAGGTGAAGTGTGCCACTTAGTCCCCGAGCCTAGCATTAGGTGAAGTAGTCACGTGATGCCAGGGTCCAAAGTAATGGTTTTCAGGTGCTGGCCCAGTCCCCAATGTCGCTGGAAACCAGTGTAGAGATAAATACAGTCATCGTAAGATGACGTGTACACACATAGTCCCCGAGCCTGCTGGAAGATTACAAAGAAATCTTGTAGTAGGGTTAGAGAAAGAAAATATCATGTCGTAGCAACACTCAGCATTGAATATCAACCCACGTTTAACAAGGTTTGACGCGGCGGCCCACCAGACCCACTCAGCGGCCTAGTGGCATACGGAGACGTCAGAAGAGAATGCGACGTGGCAGGCACGGTTTCCCAAAACCCCTAGAAGGTGGAGGGTCAGGGGTCGAACCGTTATAAGAGTGCCGCGACCCCGACGCACATTCCCCACTTTCTCTCCACCACTTCATCTTCTTCCTCGCGCCCACACCGCTTCGCCTAGCAACTGCTCCGCCATTATAGCAACCGCAAGCGCGCAGCCTCCTCTAGGCGACGGATCTGCTGGATGGCGCTCAAAAGAAACCGTGGCGGTTCGAGTAGAGCATCACGCGAGCTCAATCACATCGAGGAATGGGTGGGGTCCATCAGTAACGAGGCGACGCTCAATCGGTTGGTGGAGGACGGCGTGCTGCCCGATAGGGTGACGGTGGGATGGCATCTGGCTCACGGTGAAAGCTTTTCGACTCCTCGTGGCGATGAATTAGTAGTTTTTGAAGATTATTTCTATCACAGATTTGGCGTTCCACTCCATCCGTTTCTCCGTGGATTGATTGACTATTACAAGATTAGTCTTTGCAATCTGGGCTCGAATTCCATCCTTCATGTCTCTCTCTGTCTTTATCCATTTCTGCGAGGCTTATCTTGGCATTCTTCCGCATTTCGACCTCTTCCGCCACTTTTTTTTGTTTGAAAGCCCAGGGGGATCTAGATCTAGGATCGTTGGCAGCGCGTACTTGCAGCTTTGGGATGGGATGGTTGGCCAATACATCGCCACCCCATTGAACACAAATGTGAAGTATTGGGCGTAGCAATGGTTCTACATGCCATAGGGGAACACTATGTGGCATGCGACATTGATCAGATTCCCGTGAGCAATGCCAAGTGGTTAGAGAGACCTAGTGCCAATGGGATAGAGCAAGTGATGGAGCTGTTGGCACTGATCGACCGAAGAAGGGTGGATGGGGCCGTAGTGGCGACAAACTTCACTTTTTGGCGATGCTAGCCCAACAAGGAGAGAGCACATCTCGGATTTGAATTCCGGGGAGATACTGATGGGACCCGTGAGGTGCCCGAGCCAATTAATCGGGACAAAGTCATACGGTGAATTGGGGTGTTGTTTAACCTCGTGGGGCGTTGTAAGATCGACAATCAACAGAGGGCCTTCAGTGTAGGGTCCCTGCCACCACGGGTAAGAGCCTTCTTTTTAGTTTTGGTTGATCCCTTATCTTGTTGCAATTGCAATATACTCCTTTGTTTTCCTGAAGATTCATGGGCAGGATCGGTCGGTATACTTCTCGGCGGTGCCGTCAGCTAACTAGCCGAGGGGTGTTGATGCTTGACCGAGCCGTCCTCAGCGTTGATGCAGTTCGGAGGCTGGTGGGGACAGCTCGACCGACCTTGACGACGAAGATGAGCGGACGCTGTATGTCTGCAAGAAGCTCTAGGGGAAGCGGCCAGCTGGCGTGCAGTGGTCCCCTAAAAGAAAAAAATAGCTGCATCGTCTCACCGTGAAGAGAGGCTGGTAACCATTGGCGCGTCCGCCCATCCTTG